ATCATTAGTTTTCATATCCACTGTTAAAGTCTAAGCAAATAATAGTTAAAGTTTGGTGTTAAGAATGTTTTGCATTTTAACAAGCTGTAGACACTAATACAGTCTTGTCTTATCTAACATTAGGAACTTTTCATTTGCCTCTTCCTCAGAAGATGAAAAAGTAAATTGTCAGTTTTCCTAGCCATATCAGCTGCTTTGTTATCTGAAGAGGACAGTTTTGAAAGTTTACAGTAATGGTCAAACTTTCTTTTGTAAAAAAGATTTTAATCATTTTAACAAGGTAAGCCTTCCAACTTTGAACTCTCAATTTTTCTGAAAATATATATATATGAATCTACTCATCTAGATTTACAAAACAGTAAAAGAACTGGCTGCTAATATTTTATAAATGAAGAGTGAAAGTTTTATGAAAACGCTTATCTATATACGACATGACTTCCTTATACAGAATATTAAATTATACGCATTTTTTCTTGCACTTCATTTAAACTTATTTCCTCGAATTTCATTAGAGATATTATTTTTCATTCAATTAATTCAGTTCTCACTTCGTGGTAAGGCAAAAATATATAAAAACTCAAAATATTTTAATTTAAATTTGAAAGAGATAGAAAAATATAAAATATCCAGTACAGTTAAAACAATTTTTACAATTAAAATTAGCATTTCTGTGCAAAAACAAGCAATTTGGCCAGCAGGCAGATTTTTCAGTGCACAAAACTAAAAGTTTGCTTTTTGGTCCCACTCTGCAAAAAGATAGTGAAGGTGCAGAAATTCACTGTTCTGCTAAGTTTCAAATGTAAACAAATATGGCTACTATGGTAAAATTAGGCTTAGCCTCACTTAAACAACTTTTAAATTGTTGACAATTTTACAAATATTGCATGCAGATTAACTAAAGACATAAAAACCTTAACCGGAAGAGAACAACAACATAATTCAATCATTTTTAAACCCAAAAATACACAATTTACTAACATATAAGAATAAAAAAAACTTAGCTTACCGAGATGAGTAACAGAATGGGTATATATATACACTTTTGGTGTGGCCGATTGCAACCAAAAAGGAAAGTGCACAGCTACATGTTATAGCAATCCTGTATACAAAATTTCAACATTCTGAGGCTACTTGTTTTTGAGTTATGCGAGATATATATGTATGTATAGATGCCATGAAAAAATATCTTCTGAATCCGTTTTAAAATTTGTTTTTGAAAAAGAGTCCTTTATTCTATTCTTACATACAGATGTCGCACAAAAACATCATTAAATTACCTTTGATAGCGGTCAAAATTAATATTTTCGTTGAAATATGGTACCCGGAATTTTTCGTGATTAAAGCACTTCCTTTACTTCGCAGAAGGACGTAAAAATGAGATTTGGCAACATACAGAATTTTCAAAAATGTTTTTAATTTAGACATTTGTCAAGGCACTTTATATTTTGGACTTTTTTTTGTCTTACATTAGGCCAGAAAGTTCCTCCCCCCCTTTTCTGCTTACAATTCCATACTATATGCTATGGTTTCCTTCTTCCCAGATTCAACATCTGTGAATTCATTTTCAGAATTGATGAGGCAAAGATTTTTTTTTCTATTACATATTCATCTATGATTTTCCTTGGACTTCAGACTTTCAGAAATTAGATTTTTCATTTAAATATCTTGTGTAAAAGTCTGTTAATTTCAAATGTCTCACTGTATAATTTTAAACACTATCTAAATCACGTTGTATGTATTTATAAAGACTAAAATTCTAATTCAGTGTCTCGTCATTTTTAAATTTTGGTAATCAATTTGGTATCAATTACAATTTTTCATTTAACACAAAATTATCCCAAGCTATTTCCATGCAATATGCTGCCAAAAATTAAATGAGTATAGACAAAAAGTAAGAATTTTAGAACCATTTCCACAAAGACCCAAAAGAAGTGAAATTCAAAACCAGTTATATTTAAAATTCCCTATTAAATATGCAAAATTAACCTAAAACAGAAGATTTAAAGAAATGTGAAGAACTAAAACCCCCAAAATACAAAAAATAAATACAAACAAAGGAAGAAGAATGCAGTGGAATATAATATTAACACTATCAAGAAGTACATCAGACTCAACTGAACCCCCCTCTCTACTGAATGAAAAGCACTGCGTTTTTGTTATCCAAAATTAGCTGATGAACTATTCTAAATTATTTAATTATAACAATTCACCCGAAAATTCTGAATTCCTCCCTGATGCAGTGCTAGAATTCCAATGTCAAATCAAGCAAAAGAATTTAATTAGATACTTTATACTGAATTTAAAATTTAAATCAAATAGAAATGCAAGAATTCAAATACAAAAATACTAATAAATTAACCGGGAACATGAATTTAAAACTTACTCACAGGATGAAGGGGTAATCTGCTAAAGAAAAATACTAAACACATCCAAAATGAAAAAAATCCCAAAGTTGAATAAAGTAATTAAGTACAATTTTTTAGACTAAGATTAAAATTGAAATTTAAATGTAGAAGAAATTAAGAGAACACTGTAATCACGCTACAAGTTTTGAAACAAAGAACAGAAACGTTAGATTAAAAGTGGGTGCTTAGTGGTGCCAGTTTGGAATCACTAGCAAAACAAATTGAGGATGGTGAGTTGAAAATCTCTGTGATGGTGCATTAAATGCACTAGAATATACTAGGTCCTCTGTTAATAGAAGGAAAGCGAAGAAAAATATATTAAAAATCCTTCTTTTATACTTCTCTATTTGAGCTTTCAGATAAAAAATTAATATATACAAATTTTGCATATTTATAGCAAATTCAGAAATTTATTGGTTTTAATTTTACTTCTTTTGGGTCTATGTGGAATTTGGTTTTAAATTTCTTACTTTTTGAATATATGTGTGTGTATGTAATAAAAATAGATTTAGAGGTACTTCTTTGATGTAGGAATACTGAGACATAGAAATACAGATGGCATATTGAAGAGGAAATATTCTGATTGCATAGAATGCTAAAAAGTTGAATTTACAGTAACTAAGAAATTTGGTAGTCGAGGCGGATCAAATTTCATTTTTATTTAAATTGACATTTGTGGCTACAATTCACATGGCACTCCAATCGTGCCCATTTTCAGAAAATTTACATTGATACTCTTGCAATAGAAAGAAAGTATAGTGAAATAGCTTCCAAGCAGTACAGAGGGTGAGGTTAAAATGTACAATTTGGAGGCTCACCAAGAGAAGGTTTTGGTTTAGCTTACTAAGGTTTCAATTCTCAAAAAGCTACTTCATCAGCTTTAGACGAGCCACGTGATGTAGATAAATCTAGAAATGGCGAAATTCAAAAAAGTTGCTTCTACTTTTAGAATACAGAGAGAAAATACCCAAATTAAAAGTGAGTAGTTAAGAGGCTATTATTAAATTAAATTTTAAAGCTGATTTACATATTATATGTGTAATAAAAACAAACTTAGAAGTAATGACCAGCACAAATTTTGATGGCGTAGAAGTGTTGATCCATAATGAATAGGAAATTAGAGGCAAAGGCAGATTAAATCTTTTTTTTTTTTTTAGCAAACGTGTTGCAGCCACAAACAAGTTGGCACATCTTAATCCCTTGCCTGTGGAAAGTATTTGAGAAAAAGTGCCAAAAATGAAAACATTTTTTTCTCTTTAATTTTATTCATTAACATCATCAAAATGTTAGAAATAGATTATTAAAAAACTTAAATGAAATAACTACTATATTCAATTTTTCACATATATGGGAAATGTTAATGGATTGCAGCAATTTTGTGCTCAAATTATACCAAAATAAATCAAATGATATAATTTTCAAGATAAATATAATAAACTAACACAGCAATATTATTTATATCAACTTGTCATGAATTTCATGTCCCTCAGACTTTTTCACAAATGGGCCAAATTTTATGCAGATTTGCATAAGGGTGTGTTTCAAGGTCAACTGTATACAAAATGTGAGTATTTTCTTATAATTTGAAATCTGTTGTAGGACATAGCTTTGCGAAAGAATGGAGTTTCAAGATATGTCTTTTTTGACATCCGGCTTCTGAATAATACCCTGTAAAACATGGAGCAACAGAAATATTTTCATTTCATGATCACCTACATTTTTTATCAGCTTTTTGGCTTCATATGTTGGTTTTCAATGCATTGCTGAGTATAATATCTATTAGTCTGTTCTGTAATGGTGTGAATCAAATTGTCATCACAGAATAGTTCAAAATATTGTTTTTGAGTAAAACTAGAAGTGCCAATTGTTGCACCCACTTGTGGTTCAGGCGGCTGGAGGAAGGTTATTCAAACGTAGCAGCATCCAGGTTCGGCATGAAAGAGTTTCACTTTTGTCATCACCTTCAGAATAGTGATGCTCTTTTTTTTGAAATGCTGGTATCTGAGCATGAAGAGCTTAACAAATATTTTTCATCATCTGATTCCGACATTGCGAACATAATGTGGTTTGAATGAAATTAGGGAAGAAATGCAAGATTGCAAAAATCCGATGAATGGCGCAAAACTGTTGAACATTTCGCGGAAAAGTATCGCGATCTATTATTGGTAAAATGCATATTATGCATTGGATGAACCGAGTTTGGGCTTCGAGTTCGGGCATTCCAAAATTGGCACATTTGCGTCACAGGCAAGGGGTTAATTGTGCCTATTTCAAAATACTTATATATTAGATAATTTTGTAAGTAAGAAGGGAGGAACGGACAGACTAGGCCAAAGCTTAGAAAGCAAGTGCGTTATGTTCAGGGTGAAATCTTAATTTAGACTGAGTTAGTTTTGGTTCCCAATGCATTTTGATTACTGTAGTGTAGCTTATATTACTGTAAAATTACTATTGGCTGCTCGAGTTTTAGTTCCATTTACATCACCAGAATTATGTAAGAGTCATATGACATGGATTAATCTAGAAATGACGCAGTGCAGAAGAGGTTAATATTTTTAGAATTGAGAAGGGAAATTTACATTGCTAATTTAATCTTTTGCATATTCTTTATTTTTCTTACATATACAAAATATCAACAGCAGTGAGTATTTAATGAAAAGTAGATACATATGAAATGATACATGTAAAATGAAGCATAAATAATCTGATAATTTGAACTTAATTTGATAGACTTTGCAGTTTGATTCAAAGGACAGACTGCAATCTTTGGGCAGCTGGAATATTTTCTTGATCCAAGGCTTTAGGATAAAAAGAATTCTTAAGCTGGAAAAGTCTCTGCAGCAAGTTTGCCTTTGGTTGCTTATTTTATTTCATCTCTTCTATAGCAGTTTAGGTGTTAAGGTTGACTCAATAGCTTTCTTTCTGAAAACATGCAATCCATTACATTCTTTTTCCCAAATAGGCTTAAACTTTCAGAACAGTTTTACTGAAAAGCTGAGGAAATGTTTTTGAAACACACAACTGAAATTGTTGGAAATAAAACTATACACAAATACATAGTAATGCGTTTCTCATTAAGAAGTAAGACTGCTAAATCGGGGAGAATGGGAAATTTAAAATACATGGTGTTTGAATATTGTTTTGGAGATTTAACGAAATTTTAAATTTTTGCAGAGAAGCTCATTATTGACGATAAAATTCACCAGAAATTTTGCGAATGGCGATCGAAATTCCCGAGGATTTATTTTGGTTTCTTGTTTTAGAATATTAGTGGCTTATTCTTTTATTTTACATTTCTTTAAGTAAATTTATATATATATATAGAAAAACTAAGAGTTCAAGGTGAAGGGCCTTCCTTGTATTAGATTTAGATTTTGTTGTCGAATTATGAATTTTGCATAGGAATGCAGAAATACAGATGGCATTAATGGTACATAATTTAATTCTGTATTAATTTCACTAGGATTCATTTACAGAAGGTTATCAAATTTGGTTCTCAGTCAGTTTACTTGTTGGTTCCATTATTAATTTACAGGGAAAACTGTCTTGAAATATGAAATTTAGGAAAATATTAGAAATTTAAAAAGAGAATAAATTCAGTATTTGCCACAGCTAAAACAACTACAGTGGAACCTTGAGATATGAGCACCTCTATACAGGAGAAATTCGAGATACGAGGAAAGTATGAGGGAAAAATTCGTCTCTAAATACGAGCACTGACATGAACAACAAGCCCCGGCTGTTGGCATGCGTGGCGCTTTTCCCGATACTGCTTGACTGGGAATACCCTTGTTGGATCACTCGGTGTTCTTGGATCTACGTTTTTGTGCGCTTGGAGTTGTTTTTTACATTTAAAGTGAAAATAATCATTTTACGATGCCTCCCAAGAAGATTGTTGCCTCAGATAGTGCTGCAAACAAAAAGGAAGCCAGCCATGGCCGCTAAAATTAAGAATGAAATCGTAGATAAACATAAGCGTGGTCTAAGAGTGACGGAATTGGCAAAGATTTACGGTCGTTTGACATCAAAGATCCTCACTGTTCTGAAGATGAAGGAAGAAATTATGAAACTTGATGTGGCCAAAGGAGTTTCTAGAAGAAGAACCAAGAAGCTGTTGTTGGTGTAACGAGAAATGGTTAAAAGGTGATTCGGTGTCGGAAGCTATCTTTTGCACTAAGGGCTAAGAATCTCTACTTGGACCTTCTTTGAAAAACACAAGATACGTCGGCTGAAGATGAGATGGTAATGAGATTTTTAGGGGTGTTAAATGGATTGACTGTATTTCCGTCAGGGAAGTTCATGTTTTTAGATATGAGAAATTAGCTATAGGAGCTCAATGCTGGAATGCATTAAACTTGTATCTTGAGGTTCCACTGTACTTAGGGGAGAAAAAATAATTATCCAGATTGTGAGGAAAATTTTAGCTATATTAGAAGGATAGAAAAAGTAGGCACACTGTGATCGATCCGTTGATGACCTAATAACATTGAAGATAATTTTGGATACTAATGTCTTGAAGATAATGTCTCTGCTGGTCTTAAAAATTAAGTCTGGCATCCAGTCCAAGGTTTGTAGATGAAAGTCACTCTCAAAGCTACAAGTCAGGCAACTGGTAAATATGGACAGTGTGTTTCTGATCTAGTTATTCATCATGTAAGGCAAGACCTTTTCCAATCCAACTTCAGTGAGTTACTCAAACATATGCAATGACATCTGAACTGATTGTGTAACATGTTCACCATTCACAGCAAATTTTGCTGCAGTGTATTACTGCATATTGTAGAAGTTTAAGAGTACTATTCTTTGAATGAGACTCTGTCATCAAGACTGGCCAGGGGATTGCGATATGTTCTTCTTCCACATTCATAGCTGTGTCTTTCGCAAGGAGGTCTCCTGTTTTGTTTCTGTAGTCTCCTGCATGCACTTTTCCAGCCCTGTTCTGTGTGAAGGATTGATCCAGAAGTGCATAAAGAGATGAAAGACTGTCCATTTTGTTTCTCAAGTTGTTGTAATATACTGCATTGCTTTTATTATCACTGCAGTCTCTCCTTGAAAGGCACTGTTGTGAGTATTAAGGTGTCCTTTCTATTGATACACAACATTGTTTCGTAGTAGTGCCACCAGCCCCGTGCTATCATGCAAATGTCTAGGGAGCACCTTTGCAGTAACAATATTAAACAAAAATTTCTTAGTTAAGACTTAAAATGAAGCATTATTAACATAATAACATGAAAAACCAAAGTACATTTTATCTTTTGTCTAAATATGCAAACATTTTGTATTTTGTTAAAACCCACACTCAAACATATTTATTGAAGAATTATACATAAATTTAAGTTATTAAAAAAAAGCCGCCCAACTGGTATAGTGGTTAGAGTTGCCGACTCGGATAGAAGGGCCCATTTCGAATCCTGGTGGAATAAGGTACTGTTGCAAATGACAGACATATCTTGAGCTCCTTGCCAGGAGGAATTTCATGGGTTAGGGCTGACTGTAAGGTAGACAAGTCAGCATTACTCAACAACATGTTACACAAAAGTAGCACTGCAAGTGAAGCGAAATAATATACTAAATGCATTGGATACCAAATATATTGCTGAACACTATTTGTTACCTTAAAATTAAGAACAAATTAATTTACATATCTAATAAGTTTGCTCTGAATAAATTGGTGTTAACAGTGTAGTTTATGACAACTGGCAATGCTACATTTCTTCCAAAAGTTTGCAAAAACTGCAGTTCGTGCATAAGATCTATACTATTTACGACGGTTGGAACTATTTATTTACAAGGAATACAAGCGATTCATGTCACCATGTTTTATAGTCCTTCAATATAGTCGCCAGCATTGTGTACAACCCGTTTCCAACGATGTGGAAGTCGCAGAATACCTGTAGCAGCGCCTGTTTTGTTGATAGTTTGAATGGACCAGTCTACTGCTGCAAAAATCTCAGGAACAGTTTGGAAGCGAGTGCCATGAAGTGGTTCCTTCATCTTAGGAATTTAGTCACAAGGGCTTAGATCTGGGAAGTATGGTGGATGGTAAAGCACTTCCCAGGCCCATCGCTTGAACAAATCAGTCACAGCTTGCGCTGCATGCGGCCGAGCATTGTCATGCAAAATGAGAGGAGCGTTCTGCAGAAAGTGTCGCTGTTTTTTTCTCAAAGCTGGTCGGAGATTGTGTTCCAAAAATGAGCAGTAATACTGCACAGTGACGGTATGCGTTAGGATGACACCATCACAGTCATACACGAGAATCACCATAACTTTCACATGGCTGGGGTTCTGACAAAATTTGGAAAGTCGTGGTGATCTGTGATGACGTCTTTCGTTTGATTAGCATTTCAGTTCTGGCTGGTACGATCGGGCCCAGGTCTCATCCAGCGTAAAAAAGCATCTCCCTTCGTGCTCATAGCGCTCCAGGTGGGTTCTGGCAGCATCGTATCGTAGCCATTTCTGCATTTCCGTCAATTGATGTGGAACCCATCGTGAAGCAGTTTTTCTCATGGACAGGCATTCCTTCAGAATGTGCAGCATAGTCATATGCACTAATTCTGTTTGTCCGGCCAGCTGACGAATCGTTTGGCGGCAACTACTGTCCATTAGTGCGGCAACAGCTTGCACGTCTGCATCGCTGACACTCGGACGACCTGGCCGCAGCATGTCTGCCACGTTTAGGCGTCCTTCATTGAATGCTTTCACCCATCTTGCTTCGGTTCTGTAAGGCAGTGCAGATTCCCCGCAAGCCTCTTGAAGCCCTTGATGACACTGCCGTGCTGTACGACTTCTGGTACATTCAATTTTTATCCAACATCGTTGTTCTTGTTTTGAAAACATCCTGACAACACTTACTTTAGACCGGACTAATACAAGGATCCGTTCTTCGCGTCACTCCACATGCGCGTGACGTAGGCAGGACAAGTCTTTTTGCTGAGAGGTAAGGTAGGTATGTAGTTTATGTGTGGTATATGTGATATTTTTTGGTTTTGTTGCGTAGCGTTTTTTCAGCTGTGTTGCCACTATTAAAATTCCAACCCTCTTACTATTCACTGTTGAATGGATGCTCACTTGCCACAGTTGAATTAATAAGACTGTTTCGCTCACTTGCCAAAGAGAGGAAAGCTGATTGAGATGAAAGCTGTTCAAGAAAAGATTGAAACAGGTCAAGAAGAAATGGGAAAAAAAATAATACTAAATAAATAAATAAAATTACCTGCATAATATGACACAAATTCAGAACAGATGCAGTTGAAAATAGGGTTTCAACTGCATCTGTTCTGGCTATAGGGTTTTTTTCCTGTTTCTCCTCTGACATAGGTTGAAGCAGTTTGACATAACAGAATTGATACCGGGGATTATCCACCAATCAACATCTAACACATCTACCGATTGCTACAGAAAGAGGTAGGAAAAATTCTAAAAACACATGCAAGAAAGCAATGTTATCAAGCGTTTAAGTCCATGGGCATCTCCCATCGTCATGGTCACCCTCTTCCTAGAACTGATGACATTCTGGATACTCTTTCTGGAAGCAAGTGGTTTTCGACACTTGATTTAAAAAGCAGATATTGGCAGGTAGGGATAAATCCTGATATCCAAGAAAAGGTGGCAGTTACTACTGGACAAGGACTTGGATAGTTCTAGATGATGCCGTTTGGACTATGTAATGCCCCAGCAACATTTGAGTGCATGATGGAGACCATGTTGAGAGGTCTTTCCTACAATGCCTGTCTCATATAGCTGGATGACATCATCATTGGGAAGAGTTTTGTAGAACCTTTAGAAAATGTTAGAAAGATTAGAAATTGAAAGAAGCCAACCTAAAGTTGAATCCTAGTATAAATATAAACTATTCAGACAGGAAGTGACTTATTCCATGTTCAAATCAGATGATGGAAAGGTATTTTGATGGCAGTTGATACTTCCAAGATTCTGGACATCTTTAAAGAATTATATAGCAGTCCAACTGGAGGCTACTTCGGAATAATGACGATGTTCCATAGAGTTATGGTGCTTCTGCTGGAGTAATGCCAGGGCTGATGTGTAAAAGTAGACCTTAATTCGACCTTCCTTTTGTCTTCCAGTAATTTCAAGAGGTGGAAGTACTAGAAATATCACGATGGTCAGCTGAAAAACCATATAAGGCCAGTGAGAGCATCTGCTCTCAATTGTCATTGTTAGTTCATTAACTAATTGTACTCTGTGATACTGTGAACACTTGTACGAGTAGTCCTGTGAAAAGTTCCAGAACTCTGAACTGTTTCTTTTAACAAAATAAATTTTATCAACTTATCATCAAATCTGTGTGCATTCAATCTATTACGCATTCGTACATACACAATGTTATTAAAGTTTCTCATCACTGTGCTACAAAAAAGCTAAAAGTATAAATTCTTCACAAATTTACAGAGCCTTTCAAACATCTTTGTGCCAGAGTATGGTAGATAACCAAACCGTGTATCAAATTCTTGTAAACTTTGCTTAATAAAATCGGGTACGTCATTATATTTATTATTATGATGTAATGAAAACTCATCTGTATTATAGGAGTTATTAGAAATGATGTCCATTCGGCATCATTTCATGTTTTAAATGTAATACTTCAGAGCCCTGTAGGTCAAGTCTTTTGGAACACTTGTTTTCTGTGAGACATGAGTAGAGATTTCATTGGGGCATGCTGTAATTATTCTCCATTTTCAACAATTTTCTCCTCCATTAAAACTCCTTCCACCCTCTCTTTACGAGTTCTGTCATCGAATGGCCCAGTTTGCTTTAATCTAATAACATTTCTGACAGTATTCCTATGAGGAACCGAAATGCTAGATGAATTTTTCTACGAATTGTCTATACAATTCTCTAGAAGAATCTGTTTTTACGTAAGTGTCATACAAAACATTTTTTGTTCGAGTGTTGATGTTGCATTGCACACACAATAATAAGTACCCTACAACTATGTCTGAATTCTCTTCAAGCTAAAACCAAATTAATCTCCATACAATTTGAAGCCGAGCAGTAAAGTCGTTGAACACTGGTAGTTCGGTCCGATGTTCGAATCCCACGAACGGGCTGGCTGCATGGGCGTTTTTGTGGTTTTCCCCACGTGTAACGTGTATACGAGCCAGTTTTCCTTAGAAAGTCCTCCACAAAGGCATCCCTCCCCTTACATAAGATACATAAGATTACGGCAAAGCCCTAGTGTGCTTTGCCGTAATCTCAATAAACCAAACCGTACAATTTGAAGTGGAGTCAGAGACAATGGCAGGATCAACCGACGCTGGCCTCCTACCACTCTGACCTCCTTCTACATGGTGGCTGGCACAAAGAAAGATATTTGAAATGTTCCCTACATGGGTTTATATTATGCGACAAGGAACAACTACTTTATCATGGAGCATGAAAAATTCTGAAATTTGTTGATATTTAATTCACTAAAGCTCTTTTACATTTTCTTTATTTCTCACGCACTTTGGTAACTAATTACAATCCATTTTCAGATGTTTTAAACTACAGTTTACTTCTAGAAATTAATACCGCAAGACATATGACATGCACACTGTGAATTGATATAACAATGACCATAATGCCAAAACAAAAGAAACTGTAAAGATACTCTTTACTACCATTTTTTCAATACCGGTTTTAGCCAGGTTATGTTTCATACGAAAACAGCAAAGAATACAAGGGCTATCTGCTTAAAGAATGGGATGCCTTTGTAGACATCTTAAAAAAAAAAAATTAGCTCATATTATGTAAAGCAAAAACCAATGATATAAGGCAGCTCATTTATCAGGAGCATAATTCCCATTATTCAACAGTCTTGCTAGTAAGATTATGTAGTTAACTCATGATTGACTGTGGATGATATTTATGGTTAATCCAAAACCACAGTTAAAGGTAAGATAAAAGTTAGGCTGACTGATTAAGGCTAAGCATACGTGGGCTATAAATCTAAGGTGAGAAATGACTTAGTGACTTAGTGAAATGAATGACAATTTAAAGAAAACGGACCCATATTCATATTACGGTCGCGGATAATTATCCGACAATCATTTAGCCAACAAGACAGTCAACAGTATGTTTAGCTGATAATGCTCACATGTAGATAATAGAAAGAAGAAAAAAGAAAAAAGCGACAGTGTTTTTACTAAAATTTGTCCTATTCCAGTGAGAAGTTTTATGGACACCTATCACATTTCTGTCTTTATTTAATGCTAAAGGGACTAAATTTTAAAACTGGATAGAAAAGCAACCTTATTTTCGCGAAGATTTTGAAATCAATTTCAACAGTAATTAGACACATTTGTAGAAGTGCTCAAATAAACCTAATCTACTAACTGAAGAAGCTTAATTTTTGTATGTTAAAATTAAGTGTTCAACTGTGATTAGCTAACAAAATTTTGTTTATTTCTTCTTTTCGTACACATGATTCATTCTCCCTGACGAAAAGATTCAATGCTGTTTTAGTCTGGCCGATATATGTCAAACCACACTGGCATGATAAACTGCATTAAGCTAAAATTCCACAAGAATTGAAATCTTTAAAAACTGAACAATAAATTTATTGCTAGTTGTGAACATAATCTGTAAACTGACTTTTAATAGCTGAAATAAACACCTTATTTCAGCTATTAAAAGTCAGTTTACATGAAATTTGAACTTAATGAATTTTGAAGCTACCTAACAAAACGAAAATATATTACTTGCAAAAAATACAGGCTGTATAAATTAAATAAATTAATTTTATTCCTGTTGTTATAACTTAAACTTTATAACTTTATTACAGTATTTATCTTAAAATCAAACTCGATTTAAAAAATTAAGTAATTATGCAGTTTTGGATTTGTCTGTCTGAATTGTTCAATTTTATGATGAATATTACATTTATTTTAATTAACTTGCATGTATAATTATGAATCTTTAGCATACAATAAGAAAATTTTAAAATACATTTCAACACATATTAAAAATGCACCACAAATAACAAAACAAAAAAGCTATAGCAAATAACACATATTAGGCATCTAAAAAGTTCCTCTTACTGTCATAAAGCACATTTTGACATTAAGAATAATCATAACAACATTGCCATAATACTGTCTAATGTTTCTACTAGTTATGAAATTGCCTGGATTCTGGATAAGTTCAACTTTAAATTTATTTTCTTACTTATCCCTAAAATTTGTTGTTCAATTATTAAAGATCCCATCTTTGATTTTACATCTTGTTGGATTTTAGCCTATCAGGTCAATGTGGTTTAACATATATTTCCAAAACTTGGAAGAGTGTTGAAATTTCTTTTCAGGAAACATTAATTGTTTGTTTGGACGGAGAAATAAATAAAGTTTTGATAGCTAACCACAAATGGACACTTAATCATAATTTTTAATTTTGATCTGCAAAAATTACCCGTAGAGTTTCTTCAGTTAGTAAATTGGATTTCTTTGAGAACCCTTTTAAATGAATTTTTTCCCCCCCTACTTCAGTTAATGACTTTCACTTAGCTCCACCCATTTTTCCCCCATATAATATCATTTCGTTCATACATCTGCTTGCTCTTGAAATTAATTTCAAAATCCTCGCCAAAATAAAGTTGTTTTTCTGTTCAGTTTTAAAATTTATTAAATAAATATTAAAATTTTAAAATTTATTAAATATATAATAAAGACAAAAATGTGGTAGTTGTTCGTAAACCTTCTCATCGGGTAACACTGAAAACTGCCTTTTGACTCCACGAAGCATTGTCAGCTAAACTTGCTGTCTACTAAATGTTATTGTCAGTCAAACAGGCTAAATGCTCTACCTAAGTGTCACGGACCCGTCATATTACACATGGAGTAAACCATGGAAACGTACATGCAGCTAGCCTGTTTGCTAGGATGTGAACTTGGGTTAAACTACCAGTGTTCAGTGATTTTACTACTCCATTGCTGGTGGTGACCCAAAGGTGGTTAAAAAATATACGGAAAGGAATAATCCACATTATAATTAACAGAAAAATACTATTAATTTATCTGCATTTTCAAGCAGTTTAATCTGGAAAATAAGATCATTTCATTGGATAAATTAAATCAATACTCAAACAAAATGATTGCACTTCAAGGTAAAAGAATATTTTTGTTTACATTACTGTTGTAATTTAATAGCAGTTAGTGTAAAACAGAAGATTAATAGCACTACAGTGCTGTCAAACTAGTGTTCATGGAGGAAACAACATATAAGTTAAGTAAAAGAAAAATGCATAAGTTCTAGATAACTTTAAATCAATATTAAGATTATCCTGCTAAATAAGGAAATTAAAAAATGATAATTTTCAAAAGAATTTGATGAAAAATATGCAACAGCTACAGAGTTAAATTACCCTCCTTGAAGAAGACAGTCCTATATTAGATTTTGTTGAAACACAAAGCTTTCTTTTAACATCAATCCTTGGTTAAATCTTGCCAAATTTTTCAAGTTCAAAGTTTGCAAGCTTCTCTTCTTACTACTGTAAATAGAATAATATCCATAAAATTCATTATTCTAGCATGGATACACATATTCTGTGCATTATTCATAAACTTCATGCGTTCCAAATTTTCAAAATGTAAAATAAATAATAAAAACACTCTTTATGTTTAAATAATTTATATTTAAGAAATGGCACATGATAAATGTAACAAGGTTTGAAAATGAAATATCTGTACAAACAATGGTTCAAATGTTCAGTTGCGTTTGATTTTTAAGACACGATGGTTGAGCTTGCAGAAGTGCGGGGGCAAGCTGAAGCTTGACTAGCTCTCAGAAATTTAAAAAGATTGTCTTCATTAATGTTTTCTATTTACAGAATATACAGATATAAGAGAATCTGTGCTTCCTGCTGCCAAGCTTGCCTAAAAAGAGAAAAAGTAAATTATAAAAATTATATTAATTTATCATAACATATTTATGATCTTGGAATCTTCAAGAGCTATAAAATTATAGTTATATGACATCATCTTATAAAAAAAAAAAAAATCTTTTCTTGCATATATTCCTAATCAGTACTATCAAAAATAGAATTTTACATTTTGTAACTCATACCAATAGCTTCTATTCAATACAATACACAAAGTACAAGATCCGGATTTCAGCAATTATGGATTTGGGATATTTTCCATATACACCGAATCATCGGTTTAAATGTAGTGAGATGATATGTAGTAATTATAAAATTAAAAATATAAAATAGTGGTTTATGGAATAATGAAGTATTTATGATTTTAAGGGAATTAAAACTTACAAAAGAAAATCTCAACAATTATTTTTATTTTATTTCTTTCAAATATAAGTTGAACAACTATAGTTTCAATAACTATATTTCTTTCAATATAATTTGTTCAAGTTGCTTTGTTTTTTGAGCAAATATTTTAATTCTATAGACAGACATAATTTCTTGTTCAATAACAAAGTTCCATTGTTCTAACGACGTTTCTCTCAATTTTTTTTCACTACCAGTAGTGACATTATCTGGCTTTTAAACCATATTACAGATTTTGCATCTGTTAGCTGATCAATGACTGAAGCGTTGTTATCGCAATGAAAAATCTTTATTTATTACCGCTTCCCCACAAATTCTATTAGCTGGAACATTTCTATTCCCCCCCCCCCAATATCCGAGAACTTTCAAATTCGTAGCTATGGTCATAAATCTTAGCTAGAATCCACTGTTATACTGTCAGTGACATATGATGAGATTATACACCACATATCTCTAAATTTAATTATTACCGTATTTGATGGCATATAAGACGCACTTTTTTTCCTAAAATTTGGTCTCAAAAAAATTCTGTGTTTTATACATGAAGGACACAGTCTTATGCATGAAGGTAATTGCATTCAATAATTGTTTATTTGGCTTTTACGAAATGTGAGAACCAAAAGAAACCACGCTATTGAAACTTTTTTTCCTTGTGTGTGGCCATCTAAATAAGGGTGCGTCTTATATACCGTCAAATACAGTACTTAGATAAAATCTTCAGGTCAATTTATATGCATTATCAACATACATGCTAGAAAACACGGGAATTCAAAATTTTGCATAATCAGAAGATATGGAAACTTTCACTCATTTTAGAAGAAAGGAAAAATGAAAATGTTTTTTAAATTCTTAAAATTTCCTTTCTGATAACTTGTTAATATTTATTTTGCTACCACATTCATCATAGACCAGTCTTGAAGGCTTTTTAATTAATATTATTATAAACTTAAATTATTATCTGAAATCGCAAAGCATTAAAATAAGTTCTGACATTAAAATGAATTAGAAATTTTCTTTTTAATTTAACACTGAAAATAAAGATTTCTAATGGTTTAACTTTTTTAAATACACAGAGGGAAGCAAGAGATAACGATTCCCTTCCCACTTATAAAACAGCAGATTTATGTTACTTAAAAACATATTACATCCAGCATGATGACTAAAACAGTACACATTTTCCAAAAGAAGTTTTAAAATTGTATTAATAAGAAAATACATATTATCCATGGCACACTTACTTTATACGGATGGAAAGCTAAACAACTGATTGGCCCGATTCTGTGTCCCATAAAACCATCATGATACTTTATAGTGCTCACATTTTCTCCAGACTGGTTAAATACACTAATAAACTGGCTTGCTGCACCACTGTAAAATCAAAAGAAAGAAATATGTCTTTAAAAATTTAGTTAAAAAAAAGCATTTCAGTATTCAGTACTTTTTAGGTCCCCCCTTTTCAAGTAGAACAGAAGATTATTAATCTGGAATTGTCAAATATATAAGTGATGCCAGATTGTAGGACCCAAGCTGTACAATGCCTTACCAAGAAAATCCTTATTAAAAGTTCTGTAGTTATTTCAGAAAATAACAGATTAACTAAGACTCTATTACTAGATAGGTTCTCAGTAACTATGAATCTATTACTCACACAAAAATCAAACAGAAGCAATTTCATTACAACAATTACCTACTATGCCATTACTCCCAGCAACAGTTCTGTTTTCAAAAGATTACTGATACAAACTAGCAGTAATCCCAACCCCATCAATCTAAAAATTGTTAAGAATACACAAACCATATACCAGCTCAACAGAAGTGTATACTATCTCCATCCTAAATGAAGATACTAACTCAATGTATCAGTTCAACATGAAATTATCAATAAGTATAGCTTCACATAAGAAAGATGTTTTCAAATTTTCTGTCAACCAATACAAAAATAACACATTCCTTAACTAAATAATCCTTCAAACATATGAACTCAACAACTGAATGGGACAGAACCAAAATTATCAACAAACCCTGGCATAAAAGCAGCCAGACCATACTGCAAACAAGCCTTCCTTTTAATTTATCAAACATCCAGATGTCAATTCTGAGAAATACAGCAAACCTTCAGGAAACAACAATAAAAGATAATGAACTTCATTCATTACAGTTTCTAGCTTCTATTTTGTTAATACACGGTTTCAATGAGTTAACCTAAAATAATTTATTTTGTATAAATTTTATACATAATCAACACACAAAATATAAACTTGTACAAAAGCTTTAAATTTTTCTCTTGGTTGGAATGTTATACATTTGTTACTTGCTTTTTATATTCACAATAGTCTGTGCAGCATTTTTAATTATCAAGTTTTTGTACAGATTGTGCTTGTACAATCATAGCAAGCTTGTCATCTATCCATAGAAAAATACCACATCAAATAGCGGAATGATGTTTGTGTGCTAATAAACAAATGCTCAAAGCCTATGCTTGATAGCTCATTCCACATACATTTATTGTGGTATATAAAAAAAGAACAAAACACAGACTATAAAAGAATACACTCACTGATATATGAAAATGAGGTTCCACAAAACTTTTTTGGTTTTCTCTTAAACACAAAAAATTTGTAATTTTTTCCATCCTTTTTTCATTTAAGTTATATGGAATTTGATAAAATAGTACTGCTGCAATGTCTCCATACAAGTTTCTTTCTTTAACGTTTTCTGTATCTCTTATCTTTTTAAACATAAATAATGATTTATAATTACATTTACTATTAATACTCTAACCATTTTATCTGTTTCTCAGTCTACATGAGTGGTATTCTGAATGGCTGTAATACAACTGAATTTAAGATATTAGCAGGACCATTTAATCAAAGTACTCAGCTGTGGTGTAAGAGCGAATACCGAGAACTACTTACTTATAATACCATGCTGGTAGCAGATTGAAAATATAATAGATTATTGAGCATCAGATTAGAGGGGTATACAACCTGAACAACTAAATAAGAAAAATGATTGTCCAAAAGATATACAGTATTTAAGGAAATAGTTTCATAATTGCTCTTGTATTCTGTTTGAGTAAATGAGAGATTTCAAGCGGAATACTGTAATAAAACGAAAAGCACTAAAGTCACTTTCGAAACAAATACTATATACACTGACTATCAATAAGTATTTGGACACCTGTGATACAAAAGAACTAACTTTATTCAAAATCAATAGTTGGTAGAGCCTCCACGAGAGGTAATTACAGTGCGGACCCTCCGAGGCATACTTTCCACAAGTCTTTGTATGACAGCTAGTGGTATTTTCTTCCACTCGGCTTGGAGAAGACATAGAAGTTCCTTCACCGATTTTGCACGGGTAGTGCACCCCCGAATTCGGCAATGCGACTCGTCCCAGAGGTTCTCGATAGGGTTCAGGTCTGGACTCTGGGCAGGCCAGTCCATTCGATGAACTCCATTGGCACCATACCAAGCCTTGGTTAACGTCGAAACATGACAACTGGCATTGTCGTCCTGAAACTAACAGGGGTCCAACCCGTAAAACTGCCACAATGTAGGAAGCACATTGTCATCCAAAATAGTGCAGTAGGCATTGGAGCTGAGCTTACCATGAATGGGGACCAAAGGTCCCAAGCCCATACCAGGAGAAACACTCCCAGACCATAATTCCACCTCCGCCGAACTTGACTGTTGGCACATTGCATTCTGGCAGGAGATGTTCTCCAGGTGGATGCCAGACCCAGACCCTGCCATCCGAACGGTAAAGGGTGAACCTTGATTCATCACTCCAAAGAACTCGTTTCCACTGATCTACGGTCCAATTTCGATGTGCTTTGCACCACATAACCGAGCAGCGCGGTTGGACTTTGTGATCAAAGGCTTATGGGCAGCAGCACGACCATGAAAACCAAGCAGATGTGCTGCCTTACCGATGGTATTCATTGAAACAATACTCCCGGATGCCTGTTGAAACTCCTCGCGGATGAGGGCAATTAGTTGGGTGCGGTTCTTCCGAATTTCTCTGGACAGCACTCCTCGGTCTCTATCTCCCAGTTTCGTTGGTCTGCCGACTCGGGGAACATTCCGACAATCACCGCTCACCTTTCACTTCTTAATCACATAGGCCACTGTCAATTTTGGGTACTTCAGATTGCTAGATATGTCCCTTAAGGATCAGCCACATTTGTGATACCCGATAATTATACCTTTCTCGAAATCAGAGAGCTCCGAACTGCGAGGCATCTTGCATGCGACTAAAGCTGATGCTGTTTCCTACACGATATATACCGGCGGAGTCTGGGACGTACCTTAGGACCACAGATATCATCATTTGCATAGGTGTCCAAATACTTATTGGTAGTCAGTGTATATGTAATAATTTACTTTTGGAGATGAAAACAATCACATTCTAGTCATGGCCAAAAAAACTGTAGGCTGTGTAGGTGACTGGACATTATGGCCTAGCAAACTAGCGGATGATTGGATGGAATTTTAGAAAAAGCACGACCAGCTTGATAGCTGAACATCATTTATTCTTGAATAACAAATTTCTTAACACATTAGTGTTAGAAGACTAGGGGTTGCCACAAAAATTTAGATATGCAATTACATTTTAATTAATGGCGAATAGCTAGCAGAGGCTGAGCGACACGCTCTCAGCAGGCAAGCGAAAGAGAGGGAGACTATGCATTTATTAGCTATTTATACTAGGTGTACAACTAAGCTTTGCTTGGTTAATTTTAGGTTGTTATGTAACACAGAAAGACCTCGAATTTGGGAAAACAGGTGAATTTATGGGGAGAGCATAATACAGGATAGTCAATTTTGAGGCTGCCAATTATTCTTAAAGCAGCCATCATGTTTTTTTTATGTCTTACATATATATCTCCATATATTAGTTACTTGATTATTTCTCCTTGAATAATAAGTTTCTGAACAAAATTTAACATGTATATAAACTTTTTATGTGCATAAAAATAAACTCTATATTTCAAAGGAACTTAACATTCTATATAACCCTCCTATTTTTATTTTCTTTTATTTTGTGAATTTATTCATTTTTGTAGAAAATTTCATGAAGATAAGCATTACTCCCCCCCCCCCAAAAAAAAACTTCCATTCTCCCCTTTCTCAAAAGAACTTCCAACCAAAAAATGAGGGCAGAAAGAGGGAGGCAGGGGATATGAAAAAAAAAGATCTATAATATTACAGGAATATTATAATGCCACAGTTAAATTATTATAAACATGTCATTATTTAACTTTATCAGAAGATCTGGATTCAGCAGATGGAAACAAATGTGAAATTAAAAAAAAAGCTGCAAGTAAAATATCAAAAACAACGAAAATGAAAAAAAAATTTTTTCCCTCCTCAAGCAGAACAATAGTGTAATAAAAAAAAAAAAAAAAAAAAACATTTTTATGCAAAGAAAGTAACAGGAAATGCAAATATTATTCTCACTGCTCTGGCTTTAAAAATGTTTAAATGAATGGGGGGGGGGGAATGGCTGAAGTTGATGATGACAATATGGCATATAAACTAAGAATTTATATATTTAATAAAATGAATACATATTTTTCTCATAAGGATTAAAATTTACAATATATTATGCACAATAAAACTCACATCACAATACAAATATATAAAAACAAAATAAATATGCACATGCATTAAACAGAATATACAATTAAAAACTAATTTTTTTTTAACACAAACGTCCAAAATTGTTTTTTTTTTAATGGGGTTGGGGAAATAGGAATATAACCAATATTAAGATACAGACACAAGATAAACACTGAAATTAACTATACAAAGAATATAATTACTATATATATATATATAAACAATGAAGATAAAGAGACAAAAGTGCAACATTTAAACACTGTTACTGCTTTTTTAGGAACACAAAATTATGGCAACATACATTTTATCATAAAAATAGTTTATATTTGTAATATACTAGCTTAACAAATTAACAACTATTAGTAAAAGATATTGTCAACAGAAAGGAACTAAAGCTCCTTTTTAACAATTCAAATAAAAGAAAAATAGATTAGAAAAAACTTATACATACTAACCATGCAATTAAATCTAGAGATGTGTGGATTGCCATAGCTGTCATACCATGTGTAGGAGGGATAGATTTCACACTAGTAGAATGTCTCAAGTCCCAAAACCTCACATCTCCAGCAACACTGATTTAAAAATATATACATAATAAATGTACTTATTTGTACTGAATTGTGATCATGACTGTAAATTCTATATCAATATTAATGATATAATTATAATATGCATACCAATAAATACATCTTGATCCCGATTAAATGCGATATGAACAATAAACACAAAATTGCAGAAGTGATTAATTAGTTATCATAAATGATTTAGTGAATATACGATGCAATCACAAGAAATATTTTGCACTTAATTAATTAGTGGAGTAAGAATATTTTTATCAACTGGACTTTTTACCAGAACTATTCATATAGTTAAATTTTGTAAATTTGTAAAACCATTCTCTTCCAGAATTGCAACTGTTTTACTGTTTTCACAAAATTCTGCATCCCAACTTGAGAAATTTTGTGTCTCTAGGTTTAATATCAAAGGAAATAAAGCAGTATCCAATTATTTTGAACATCTTAATAAATGCTGATCATAAAAAAAAAAAAAAGACTTTCCCCAATATATGAACCCCCAGCAGCCTATCCACTCAACCAATCAAAATAAAATTTCAGATAATGTTATCCGAAAGTGTGTATGCCTGAGATTGTGATTATTTAAAACAATGGAGCTCTCACAGTTACAGCAAAAAAATTTTGAAATTTTTGATTGGAAACACCCACTTCTTTCCTGAAAATTGATCAGCAGATTGAAAAACCAGAAATGGCATTAGAATGATACACGTATGATGAAAATTGCCAGCATAAAACATTCACGAAGAAGAGCATTGTAAAGGACAAAATGACAACAAAAGGAAAGGGAAAACAACTTTTACTGGAATTGAAAGTTTTCAACATGCCCTTTGCACAAAATGTAATTAATGACATTGTATGCACGCAAGATGGTGCTCCTCCACACATTGCCACAGTTGTTCAACAAGTGCTCTCACAGCACTTTGGAGAGAGTCATCTCCCCATAACTTTGCTGTTTCATCATTAACATGATCCCCCAACCTTACTCTGATGAACTTTTGGTTCAAGGGTTATCTGAACTCTAAGATAAACACTTCAAATTCACCTTAATTAAGCATTTTTTTTTCCTTATGATAAATCATAATAGGTTTGAGGAGTTTACAGCCTGATGAAAAATCAAAGTGCTACATTTCTTAATAAATATGGCATTTTGTCCAACAATAGAGAATGCAAAATTTATATTTCATGAAGTTGTAATTTTTAATGATCAAATCTTATGGAAATGCAATGTGAAAAATTGCAAGCAAAATGCTAGAATGTGGGATGCTGAATCTATGCAATTTTCCACTTTCTCTTTTAATGAAAACAGATTGCTATGCACATGGAGAACAACAGCAAGCACATTGCCAAATCTGTACAATTCTCTTATGTTGTTTTAGACAAAAAGTAATAGCTGTGTACATAGGGAGAACAGAGCAAAAAAAAATTACATAAAGATTTTTTAAAAAGGTACATGTTTCATTATGGAAGTTTCTTGCTCTTTTAATTTTATCGATCGACTGTTCTTTTACAAAATTCTTTGCATTTCATGTATTAGCTCATTGGCAATAGATTAGTCGTTACTGACTTTTGGGTTGGAGGGATAATCAGAAAGTACCAAACAAACTTTTACACAAGGTACAATTAATCAGAAAATATACAGCATTTATACATCTGTATTATAAATTACATAAAATAGAGATATTAAAAAATAAATTAAAAGACATAACATACACATATTGATTTTAAATCATTGTTAAGTAACGTATAATTTTATTTTGGAAGATTAATTAAAAATCATGCTACAATAAATAACAAAACCAAGAATTTGCAATTTGCCAATATGATACATTAAAAGATTTTATGTTACATGGAACAACAATACTTTCTAAATTCAGTGGATATGAATGCTCTGGTAGTATAATGGAATATAACACTGCAGAATGCCCAAAACGTAAATAATTTAAGGAATTGGTATTTTAAATAGCGAAACAAACATTTTCACATTAGATCCATTTTTTGCGCTGCTTTTTTACAAATAACTTTTTCTACACCAAGCATAAAAACTTCACTCTTCTCATTCACAATAACAAATACTGCACCCACTCAATCAGCTGTACTTTTAGCAGTTTATTAAATTCAAATGATGAGTAACTTCAAATTTTAAGACTCAGTTTTTTTCACTTCCTTGTGAGATGTGCTCTGCAAAAAACAACTTAGCAAAAGTGCTATTTTTACAGTCCCTTTTATATTGTGGAATTTGGGTGAAATTCAAAATTCCAGTTTTTTTTTTATTACTCTCCACATTGATACTAGAGGAATGGAAATGTCCTCTTAACAGTTGCAGATTATAAATCAGATATAATGTGATATTGTATTTATGTGTTTTGATGTCCAACTTCTTGCTCCATGTACCATACAGCACTACACATTTTGGTCCGTTTGCTGATTCTGAGCACAATGATATCATTACTTGTTCTCTTCATTCGCCAGATTTAAAAAAAAAAAAAAAAAAAAGAGAGAGAGAGAGAGGCTGATAAACTCGCATATTATTGCAGCGATTCCACCAAAACTGATGGCTTCATGCTTTGTTTCAATGCTTAGATTCTGTGTGTTAATTGTATGACTGGTTTGCAAATGCAATCATTTGTATAAAGTATAGATATATATGCGCTCAAAGGAATTTGCATGGCAATGTGTTTGCTTCCTCATGGTATGGTATTTTCTTTGTCAGGCAATATATTATAAAATAAAAATCATTTATTACACAATAATGTAAATAATTTGCCATAGCTAATAACCACTAAAATTAAGTTTAAATCAAAAATCCCATAAAAATCATAAGAAATCTAAGTGGCTTAAAATAAATAAATAAATACAGTAGTATCTCCTGTAATGGAATACCTCTATTTAAGGGACAATTCTGTTGACCTCAGTCCATTTGAATTAGGCATGTATTTACCTCTATTAAGAGGCTTAATTAATTATTAATTACCTCTATTAAGGAACACCTCTACTTAAGGGATAAAATTTCTGGTCCAGTAAGTGTCCCTTATTAGATGGTACTACTGTAATTCTGCTTTATGTATAACAACATATATCTGCACTCTTCTGTAAATTTATTTAATAGTGTTCACTTCTAAACACTCAAAACTACACAATAATGACACGATTACAAACTACACAGACATAATTATGTATGTTGGGTGTTTCCAAAGATCCAGGAACTGACCTCTAGTTTACTTCTTAGAACTTACAGGCAATGCTATCAAAGACAAAAGTCTTGGCATGTTTATACAGCTGTCCCGTACAAAATGTTTTAGTCCGATTCAGTTGTATGATTGGTACAGATGCATCTTTGTAGCACTGTTTTTTCAATTATGGCAACCATTTTTGCAATCAAGATCAATCACTTCTTTTAGAGGGAAAAGCATGTGAAAACTTCAGAAATTATTCAATATCTGCAGGGAGCATTCTATTCCCACATTTGAAAAAACCTTTACAGGGTATTCGATTTGAGAGTTTATCATGCCATAAATATGTGAATTGAGGAGACACCAAAGAAGTTCTATGAGGATGGTTTCCATTAGGATAAATGAAAAATAATTAGTTTTCCATTAGGATGAATGTATTCATTTAAATGGAGATTACATTGAAAAACTGCACTTCAATAATCAAGTAAAACAATTATACCTAAATTCCTAGAACATTGGAAATATCCCTTGCATAATCCTTTCTCTGACACATTATGTCCAATATTGGGCACACCATTATAGTGTACTAGATCATAAAACATAATCTTTATACTGAAACAGAAGTAATTCACTTAACTAGTCATATCATTAGTCATCTTCACAACATAACTTTTATATTTAATGAAAACAAGGTAGAAGAATGCATGCATCTGTATGCAAACACAAGCAGAACTGTACTATAACTGATATATGAATATGGTTAAATACATACATACAGTTTCTTTAAAGTTAAAGTTTTAAATACATGAAATAATGCAATTAAATAAACAGTTAGAAAGTAAATAATTCAAAAGTGCAGTTACAGTTAATGCCACACATATAATGACACACACACATATAAAATCCCTTTGCAGATACTTTTCAATTGTTGCCAAACAGCTAAAAAATACTGAAAGTTATTAAATTTGGTTATATAAAGTCTAAGCATTAGAAAAAATTTAATTAAAATTATAAAATAAATTACCTTCCACTGACAATCTGGCTAGAATTTTGTTTGTTTTGCAGTAAAACATTTACAACCCAGCCAGAATGTTCTTGAAAAATGTGAACACCACTAAAAGAATTAAAAAATAAATATGCAGAACATATAAAATAGAATTCTTATGCATAAAAATTGTAATAATATAATACACAAAATTACATTACAGTAATTAATTTTCAAAATTTTACTTATTAAAACATATGCAAATACAGATAAGATATATGCAAAAAATAGATTTAAATGGCTGCTTTTTAAGAAAATAATTTATTTAAAGGGAGCAGTAAAAAATATGAAGGGGAAAAAATAACTGTGAAATACCATTCATTATGTGGCAGTCTTCTGTCATATACACGGACTGTTCCATCTCCACAACCAGCAACTACCAGACTTGCATATTCTGGGTTTGAAGATAAACAAGTTAGACAGCTGTCTGCAGAAGTAGGAATATCCTTAAAAATTATTAAATAAAAATTAGTCTGCAAATTTATAGAAATGCAGAAAAATTATTTTCGATTATTAAAGATATAAGCAATAAAGAAAGAGAAGACTATTTAATATTACAAATAAGATAATGAATGATAATGCTTAAGAAATATGGTTACCTGAACTTTAGATTCTCTTTCAGCATCCCAAATTCTGATGTGTCTCACATCACCAGAAGCTAGTAATTGTAATGAATGTTGTTCCCATTGAAGAACCAGTCCAGATCCTTTAAAAAAAGAATCAAAATTAAAAAAATACGCATTAGCTGCTTTAGACAGCCTTTGGTCTGACAAACACCCGAAATGAAAAAAATAATAATTATAAACTTGGTTTATTATTAAAAAAATAATTTGGGTGAAAAGTATAGAAAAAATAATGTTAATGTTACAGCTGAAAAATTGAAAAACAGCTAATAAATATGTGTATTCAGAAAGCTATCAGAATATAGCATTTAATAGTAAATATTAAGCATGCAATTTGCATGCTTAATATTCTAGAGCACAATGTTGCCAAATCTTTAAATGCAGAAGTTTCCAATCACAACAAATACTTTTAAAATTTTAATCTTTCAGTTTATATGATATCATATGCAAATGCTCCTCCAAATAGTGAGGCAAGCAAGAGTGAAATTTTGTCAAAGTGGAGAGTTGATGGAAGAGACAGCATGATTTTTTGTTGAAAATATTTTTAAAAAAATATTCAGTTTTTAAAATGCACAAGTGAAACACAGTTTACTAAAGGAAGAAATGCCAGCTATAAGATATATGCATGCACATATATATTAAATACATATTGACGATTTGCCATGCCTGACTTATCTCAAAATGCAGAGAAATGCCTGTTTCTGCAAAAAATTAATTATTTAAGTAAGAACATAATAAATATGATATAAAGTAGGAAAAGCTGGTGTTACAACTTTTTAAGAGAGATACAGTGAAAAAATTAATAAGGTGTGCAGTCACTTGTGATTGAAATGCACGTTTAGTGGTGTTTGTCATGTTGTGTGTTAGATTGTCCGGATGTTTCTCAGTGGAAAAATATCTAAAATTCATTAAACTTGCGAAAAACATAAAATAAATAACAAAAATGTGAAATTTAAAACTTCAGCTTTGAGGGATGGATGTTCGAGTGCACGTACTCAAAATTTGATGGCTTTAGATACCACTGTCTTTGAATGTTTTGAAGAATTTATGTAGTCACTCAATTTTATTTTATCATATGAGATCAGGTTGTTCTATAGACAAAAGTTATTTTAAAGAGTGTTTTGTATAACCTATATCAATACCATGTTGGATATGCAAGACAGTAACCTTGAACTCCAAAAACTTTACTATTTATTTTTTAGATAGGTCAAATATTTAGGTGTTACTTTATATCAACAATTATCACCAATGCCCCACATAAAATATGTTATGATCCTCTAAATCAAAACTCAGACCGTTAATTGCTCAAACAGTGTTTTAAGCATAGATAACAAGACAGTTGTTTATAAGACCATGTTGTGTCCCATACTCACACCTGTTTGCTCTCTCTGGGGATAGCTACGTTACTCTAATTCATTAAAGTTGTAATGCACTACTCTCCAACAAATTACTAACAAGAGATGGTTCATAAGGATCACAGATCATCACTTTGCTACTAGCTTCTACCACTGTTATGCCCTACGACCAATCACTGTAATTTTTTAAATTATGGTGCAATCACACTTTACACCCAGAGGTGGCGCAGTTATTTTGGCAAATTCAAGAGTTCAAAGCTAAGTTCGTTAATTCACAAAGTTCTTATCAGCGAGTAAACAGCACTGTGATGACTTGTCTTGAAATTCAGTCTCTACTTCATATACATACTATTTACACAGTCTTTCAGAAATGCAGAATGTTGAAACTTGCAATTTCTTGGTTATCTAACGTGAATCAGCTAATGGGAAAGTGTCTTTCCGAAATTGAGATTAAATTAATCTTCAAGCCTAAGTTTTGTAGAAATTTAATTGCAGGTACTTGAGCCATTTAAATAAATGCATTTAATGTTGAAATTTCACTTTTAGAATTTGCATAAATGGAGAAATAATCTTGAAAGTTCATTTTTAGGATTGAAGTCACATGTTGCAGGCGAATGAATGGTTCATAAGAAACACAGCCATCCATTATATAATACACTCAACAATTAATGACTTTATTGTGAAAAGCACAAAAGATTTCATAAAAACTTATGGAACATAAACAATCCCACTATTCTTCGTATGAATTATGACATCTTCAGTGATGAAAACAGAAAAAGGTCCAGAAACATTCCTAGACTATAATGCTAAATCTGTGTAAATCGTATTTACAAACTGCAATGTATTTGTTCTATGCATGCTGCCTTTTTTAACTATAAGTCATGATTCTACTAAAATTTAACTTGAAAATTGTAGTCCCCCACACCCATGATCCACTCATTTATGTAAAATTTTAAAATTATGATTATTTTTCATTCTTTTATGATTATTATTAATTATTCCCCAACATAACTTTTTCAGCTACCCTCTCTGAATTTATATGGCAATAAAAGAGTCTTAACCTCTTCCCTGACCAATCCTTTGCCTTGAATCCAATAACACTAATCAATTGCCAGTGTTACTGGATGGCATATATTATGACATCGACTCCCGTTCCACCTCACTCCATCACTTGCCTCCTAGATGCAAGCCATGATGTTTGCTTTCCCATCAGCTCTGCACTCAACATCAACTGAAACTCTAAGCATCAACTGATACTCACACTAAGAACATTTTCATAGCTGAACTACTCCATCACTTCTAACTATGATTGTTTTTCTATATTCTCTATGATTCCACAAGATACTGCTATGAACTTTCACATGCTATTCAACTGAGTGAAAGCCCAGGCATTCTTATCTGAACACCTGTTCAATCAACAGTTCCATTTTCTAGACACCTCAGCTGCAAATTAAACTTGAAGTAAAACTCAAAGAACAGACTGAGTTAAAAGATGCTCACCAAATGACAGAGGATTAAATCTTCTCCCAAACTTTACAGGTTAACAGATTCCAGCTTTTATTCTGCTACAACTAGTGATCTAATCTTAATATTGGATGCAAATATTTTAAGTCATATTATTTTTAAGACCAGTAACTGACATATTAAAGAGTATATTTTTAAAATTATCTGTAACAGTATACGGAAAAACTAGCTTTTTGAAACATTCTTTGTAAAAGAGTTAATATAAAAACTTATATTTCATATATTTTTTTATCAAAAAATGTTCTATGAACAAAACTGTCAAACTCTTAAAGCTTAATTAATTTTGTTTAATACAAAATTTGAAACTGACAATGATTATAGATTACAGAGTGCCTATGGTTCAAAACCATGTACCTCCACATCAGGAAGTATGTAATTAGTGAGCAGAAATAGGAAAATTGCATAAATAGTTGTCATGATGCAAACTAGAAGGAGCCACATTAGCTCGAGAGAATTTAGGAATAGGAAAAATCAAGTAAATAATAGTTTTGAATTTTTTTTAAATACTTTTTTGTATTTTAAATTTTTTTTAAATAACACATAAATAATTTAAAACTATATGCTTATGATATAGGTATATTGTGCATAAAATTTTCACTAAGCAAAAAAAAAAAACGAAGAATCAAATATAGTCAAGTTTCAATAAAACAAAACTGAAGGGTCACACTCATCAAAAAACAAATATTCAAAATTCAACTTTGAATTAGTATCAATTTTGAACAGCACGTTTCGATATTCATTTTGACTGACCTTCACATTCCTAATTCTGACACCTATTCCCTTAAAAATTTGACTAAATGAAGTTTGAGTAATCATAGTGTATGTTCATAGTATGGCAATTAAGTAATCAGAGGGTATTAAAAAATAGTACTGCTGTAGAATTTATAGTAATGCAACTTCCCATCCAAATATGACAGGCAATTAAACAGAAAGCTTGTAAAAGGACTGTTTTTTTTTAACAGTTCTATAAGTAGAATGTCTCAGCCTTATATTGCTCCCCCATCCAAAACAATTTTCAATTTTATGGAAACTTTAGTTTTGGGAAATTGAAAATTATTGCAAGGAAGTAAATATCTGGAGAAAATGCAGGATGACTGAGTACACATACTTATTTTGGTGGCACAGCAGCTCTGCAAAGTAGTTTATTGACTGATAGATGTATTATTCGTGCAATACACCACATTTGAATTTGTTTTCCAACTAAATTATATAAAATTAATAATTGTTTGCTTAACTCTCAGCCATTTAAAAGTCAACTCAGCTAAAACAATTAAAACTTTGAAACTATTCTGACACTTCAGTTTGTAAGATAAACCTAATGACACTTAATCTAAACATCTCTTTTATCTTCCCAAGGTGAAAAATGCAGGGAAATAAACACCCCATCTTTAGCTCAGAGTCCCAAAACACCACATGAATACAGTAATACAAACTGCAACTAAATGTTCCTTTGCATTACAATGTGGTAGTTTAAAAAAACTAATAAAACTTTCTTAGAATTTAATAATAGCTCAGATATTTGCAAATCAAATAGTAAATTATAGATTAATAACCTGACACCTAATTTAAGCAGTTTCACCAATGTCCAAGCGGTTAAAAACAGCTAAATACTAGTAGTTTGTCGTGAAATCCAAACCAGATGAACGAGCTGGTTGCATGTTGATTTTTATTACTTTCTGCATGTGCAATGCGAATATGAGCCAATTTTCAAACGTGTTGCACAAAGGCATTCCTCTCCTTAGGCAAGATAGCCCCAACATGCTTTGCCATCTTTACAAAAAAAAAAAAAAAAAAAAAAAGTAATTTGTGCATGATTTCTAAACCAGAAATCCACCAAAAACCTGCATAATTATCCAATCAGAGGAATCTAAACCAGAAATCCACCAAAAATCCGCATAGTTATCCAATCGGAGGAATATCAGAAATACAGTGCCAATGGTCGATTTGCCAATATTCTCTTTCTAAACTTTGATTCTCATTCGTTAGTAAAACTCAGCTTGTACTTTTGATGGAGTTAACAGAAAGAGTAGAAGTGCAGACTTTAAAACTTTGGGTGATATAAAATTAACGAAATGTACATAGAAAAAGCACAAAATTTTAAAATTATTTTGCAATTTTAATAAACTGTAATATAATAGCAAATGTAACAGGAATAACAATAATGTAGAAATAAGTGTGACAGTGATAATCACTTATTAACAGAATTCAGGTCTTGCTTGACAAATACATTCTAAGTTAGAATTTTAAGCATATAACTAAAATATGCTACATAGAAAAACATATTTTAGGGATAAAAATAATATTAATATTTATATTTCAAAAATTGTCTTCTGAGATTTATTTAATAAAGATCATCCCACATAAGATATTAACTTAAGTTCTAGATGATTTTTACATGACTGTTGAATTTCAGCAATTCAACTGATTAATTTCATCTCTATAGGATTGAATGTTTCTATCGAAATTTTACTTTTAAAAAAGCGATTTTTCAAAGTTTTAAGTTTATATAAAAAAATTTATTTTGTTTGAAAAAAAAAAGGGTCTTGCTGAATTATGTCAGCAGACCCTTCAAACATAAACAACAGTTATGCCACAAAGTTACATAGTTAATGCCACAAAATATCTTTGGATACGAAACACCTTCAGAACCATTCTTATTTGTTGCATTCGCTACCTTTCTGAAGCTGCATGTTTTATTTACAATATTTATGATTTATTGTTTAAAATATTTAAAAGCATTAAATACATATGTGAAACACCATTTTCAAATCTGAAAATAAATTTCACTGCATATAATGAAGTCATGTAAAATAGCAGAAGGTAAAAATTTACTTTCTGCTAACCCCCCCCCAAACCAACATCTTTTGATTAATAGACTTTATAAATTAAAAAAAAGTTTTCCTCATATTCTTAATATTTTTTGCACATTATTAATAAAAATGGAAATAAAGAAAGTCAATCTGAATAATCCTCAATAAAAATTTATTTGAAAATTTAAGGTTAAAAATAAATGTTGCAGATGCTTAAAGATAGTAACAAACTGCATAAACCACACATGGTATTATTATCACTTATAATAAATATGCCAAATTTCAAAATGTGACAATGTATGAATTCAAGTACATCTTCAGGAATTTTTAAAAAAAATGTAATTTTTTGCTGGTCTGTGTTTATCTAGTTCAAGATAGTGGTAAAAATTGTATACGTTATAATTCAAAATTTTTTTTCGAAACGTTTTTAAAAGTTATTTAACAAAACAAATGTTTAAAATAAATCTGAAAAATTTATGAATTTTATTTGGATTAAACCTAAATTTTAAATTATGAAAGAAGAAACCAAGTGAGTTTAATTTAAAAAGTGATACTGTTAAATACATACCAAATTCAATTAACTGTGTGGTTAAAATTTTGAGTGCTGAAAAAAGGTAGCTGATGAGATTTTTATAAAACTTAGCACTTGGACATAATTTGAAGCATAGAATCGAAATATGGAAAATAATCAGCATGATATTTCAGAAAAAGTCTGATTTTGTGTCAAAATATATATGTTAGTAGAACAAGGCCATATTTAAACTGAATATTATAATTTAAAGTAAAGTAGAAAGAACAAACGATAAAAGACCTATATGGTCAGTGCGTACTAGAATCGAGTATTATATATATATATATATATATTCATTCAATTTATATGTAAGCGAATATAAATTGAATTTTTTGAAAACATATACAAAGTCATGCATGTCGTATTCATCTTTTATCTTTTGAAAACATGTATAAAGTCATGTTTTCAAAAGATAAAAGATGAATAAAACGAGTCAAATTTTGCCGGCTGACTAGAATGGGAGATACATAACTGTCCCCCTTTTGTTGAATGACTGATTGTAAAAGCAATTTTCACAAGAGCTGTTTATCTTGAGGGGCTATCACTTCTAGGGATGCACGAAGCTACATGGGACAATTCGGAGAAACGAGATTCTAGTAGCACTGGTTTAAATGACAGGTTTCTGAGAAATATTTCATCTAGCAAGGCACAACATGTCCCGGCTATGAGCAACATTTTGGAACCTTCCTGAAAATGTTCCGTCTGGAGCCGTGTTTCACGTATATATGAACCAATCAGACGAAAGTTCCGCTTCTGAAGGATCACGAGTAATATTCAATATGGCGATGATACTCGTTGTGAAATCATAAATAGTGGAAATAGATGCTGATTTAATTGAAGAAATATGGAAAAAGATACATATCTATTGCTGTTTTGTTTTAGTATAACTTTCTAAGTAATTTTTAAATGTTTATACATTCATTAAATTTATAACCGTGGAAATTTCAGAGTAGACAATATTTTTATGACATGCTATTTCTGATGATTTGTTTACAAATTACCCGTCGCCAAAAGTTTGCCAAATTTGTGGTATTTCGTGCTGATCATGTGAAAAGAATATTATTGTTATATAATAGAATTTTTTTTATTACAGGAAATAATTTTGTAAAATATGACTGTATATGCACGACTTCACTTTTCTACTAATTACTTTTATTACTTTTAAATTGAACTTGCATAATCAGCAATTATGTATATTTATTAAAACATAGATTATGTAATAGTGAGGATACACATTAAATTTGTATGCTATTATCTTCATGTTATTTAATGAAATGCTTTTAGATTATAAACACATTAAGAACTGTATTTTTATTATAAATGCTACATATTGAAACATTGGAAACTTATGGATTTATTATTATGAATGATGAAAAGCATTTGTATATACATTCATTAATAAAAATCTTATACATTAATACTAACATACATCAACAATTTCTAACCCGTCGCATCTCTCTCCCTATGTGTAGGTAAATATATGACTAATTAGATGTGTGTGTGTGTGTATGAATACAAAAATGAACATTGCCAGAAAATTTATTTGAAGTTACTTATAATTCATATAACGATTATGTGTAATTGTCAGCAATTGTAGTCATCAGTTCTTTGCCCATTATCATGGATATGGAATACACAGTTGAAAAATTTTGTGCATTTAATGCAAAAAGTGCATTTTGTGCATTAGGCTAGTCATTAAAATTCACCCACTTACACACAACCTGTGTATTTGTAACTATACTTGGAAATTTAAACAAAAAAATTGAGCAAGTAGCCTTTATGAAATATTTAACATTTTGGGAATGCAATAAAAATTTTTGACTCGTCACAAAACAACTATCAGTAAATCGCATTATATCATGTAGATAAAAGTTATTAAATAAATATATGGATACAAAAATAACTATTTACAATAATAAAATCAAATATACAACACATCATTACAAAGAATAGGACTTCTCTTTGCACGTTTTTTTCTCTTTAGCTTTTAGAATCGCCAGAGTCAAGATAAAAGTGATTTACTTAATAAACTGATGTTTATTAAGTAAATCACTATTATTTTCCATAACTAAAGTTTAAAATGAAAAGAGTATGAGCAATACAAAATACAACATGGAAAAGCAATTGTCACTTGAAATGTTACTTTCGCCAATCTGAGCGATAACCGATTCTCGTCTGGCTTTCAGCACTGTTTACCAAGTGAAGATGGTTACCCGATTTCGCAGAAGCTCACTTCCCAGAATTGTTCCTTCTAATGTTATGTTCCAGTAATAAATATCATATGTGATAGCAGCCTTACTAGAGCAACAAAATTTTTATCAGCAATTGCCCCAAAATTTCAAACAAAACTGGATAAATTTGCAAATGGTCATGATTTATGAAACATTTGGTACAATGGAAAACAAAGTGACCTGAATTTCCCAGCATATAATGTGTAAAATTTCTTAAGAATCATAATATGGAACTCATTGATAACAGCACAGCTCAAATACTACAGACAGATTTTAATTGCCAACTTTACAGCTACATTTACTACAAGTGTATGCACTACTTTATATGCGATTTTGGTTGATTGCAAAATACCATACTTGGTATTTCCTTTACATGCTTGATCACCCCTGTAAGTTTTATGGTAATTGTGTCATAGGGAAGACCACAGCTTTCTCTTTCCATAAGATAATTTTATTTTATTAAATCACCTTTCTTTGTAAATGCAATTTAAAGTAATTTAATCCTAAGGTCTATCTCAAGATAAAAAGCACATGATACAATATTAAGAAAGAAATATATAATTTGAGTATACAAAACCCAATTTTTACAAATAAAATGTTATTATTATTAAAAGGATATCAAGCATATTTCTCAAATTTGTTTCTTTGAAAAATCCAATATTAGATGTCATATTTCTATAATAAGTAACATTTTTTAAGCAACTAAATTTTATAAAATAATACAATACTTTTTTCCCTATGATAAAACTTAATTATGCTCAGAAATAGATTAAATACATCACTAAATGCTGAAAAAAAAATCAAAATACTAAATCTTACCTCTAGTTGAAGGCAGCAGATCTTGTATTATTTGAAAGGCTGTGACAAGTCTAACATCAGATTCACTAACATAATTCTTCCATAATTTTACAGCACCATCATCTAGAAAATATGTGAAATATAAAGATGCAGTGATACATAATTCTTTAGTAATACATTATTTAAATGCCTTGTATATTATACAGTCAAAAGTCGTTAATCCGGACTCGTCGGGACTTCGGCGATTCCGGATTATAGATCATCATTTTAAATCTGGTAAAATTGCATGCAGAAATTCTAAAATTAAAAATATGAAACCTTAATTTAGAAATAAAGAACAATTTAATCTAAGGGTCAAATTTAAAAAAATGCTTTATTTTATTTGTTTACTTTATTAACTTTCTTCAAGTTTGTTTGAAGGCTTCTTTATGGTGATAATCTTTCTAACGACTTTTCTTGTTTTTTTGCTGTTTCAAGTCCCGTAATTGTTGTGTCATGAAACACGACTAACTTGTCAATCGCAATTTTCGTTTTAACCTCTCTGCCACTTCTTCATGGTCTTTATCCATTTTTCGACATCGAAACATACTTTCGTTTTGTACGATCCTTTGGGAGCTCCAGAATCCGAAATTCTATTGACATAATCGAAAGTTCAAGTTTACTTTTATAAAATTGCTCTTACAGTCTCAAAAAATAATAATCCGGATCCAATTCGAGATTAAGGAACAACGCAATCATCAACATAATTAGATAATTTTTAGATTATGCCGTCTGTTACATAAAACGTAAAACGTGCACGCAAAATGTATTCTGCGCTTGCGCACACGCATATGCACAGTGGTAAATGTCTTTACTGTAACACGCGTAAACGCCATGGTCAACGCGGCGCATGCGCAGAAAGTTTTTAGCTTTGAGGCCCGGATTATAGATCATTCTGGATTATGGGTGTCCGAATTAACGACTTTCGACTGTACATATACATATATATTTCCTTGCTTTGTTTACAATTGAATATATATATATATATATATATAGGTAAAATTTTAATTTGTTATAGACTTTTAACAGATTAACGCAACTGCGTTTTATAAGAGAGTTTTCAGTTTGTATTCTTTTCCAGGGCACCAACTATATGATAATTTAAAGTGCTTTTATTTGTCATTTCCATATAGCTCCATTTATATTTATAGAACATAAATGTACTTAAAAAGGAATATGGTTCCTGAGAAAAGACATAAAGATCAAGTCTGGCTTGCAAGAACTGAAAATTTACTAATAAATTAACAGGAAATACAAATATAAAACATTTCAATATTATATTTACTTAAACTGAAAATCAAAGAGCCAAAAAAATATTTATTTTTATGATATTTTTCAAAACAATCATACACATGAAATGCTAGTTTATTTTCACAGATTGGAAAGAAATAACATGTTTCTCAGTATTTTTTTCACCTGGGGAAATATTCAATCTGGCTTCATCTAATGTTGTGCCTTTCCTCCTGGAATACATACTGCAAATAATAAAACTCTTCCAATCTACTTTTTTTTTTAATTACACTACACTTAGAATTTTGAATAACAGAACATGGTTAAATAAAATTGACTTCTGGGATCAGGATCCTGAAAACGTTCATGGAAGTTATGAAACTAAGCCTGCAGCTTGCTTTTTAATTTGACTATTTTCCTTTTTATTTTAAAAATAGTGACATGCTTATAATAATTCTTTCTAAAATATGTAATTCCAAAAACTAACTACATGATTCTTATATAATGTTAAAAATGCAAATATCTCATAACTGTGAAAGTACCACTGAAGTGTTTCAAACAGAATTTAACCCCCAAAAAAATAATAATAATTACCAAACAGTAATAAAGCAATACAATGCCTCTTTTCTGAAAAACAAATTTTGTCAGTCTTTATATATATGTATATATCTTTTCATGCCTGCTTTTGTATAGCTAACACGCTGAATTTCTCTACAGCTGTAAAGCTGCAAATGTGCAAAACTTATATCTGAAATACTTAAAAAGCAGTGGATTGTTCTCAGCCTGGTGCTTGTAACGCTTTATTGTGATTATTACTCTATGAATTATGTCTAAAAAAGATTAAGTGCAACATCTGTGACTGCTTATTATTAAGTGCAACATCTGTGACTGCTTATTATCAAGAGAAAAATCTGTAGCAGAAGGCGTTTAACACCTCCATCTTTATCAATGTCACAGTCAAATTTATTTATTATATGCACAAATACATATACAGTACAAAGTCTGTAATCTGGACTCCTCGGGACTTCGGTGATTCCGGATTAAGGGTTTTTCTGGATTATAGATCATCAATTTAAATCTGGTAAGATAGCATGCAGAAATTATACAATTAAAAATATGAAACCATAATTTATGAAATAAAGAACAATTATGATCTAAAAGGTATAAAAATTTACAAAAATAAAAAGTTTAATATTTATTTGTTTACTTTATTAAACATTTCGTTCAATGTAAGTTGTTCAAGTTGCTTTGTTTTTTTGTGCTAAACACGCATGTGTAAACATTAAACGTGCATGTGTAACATTAAGCGCGCATGCATAAAGCATACAAAAAAAAGTTTGTAGCTTTGAGATCCGGATTATAGATCATCCTGGATAATGGACGTCCGGATTACAGACTTTGTATTAAACAAACTCTAGCATATAATGTCAAACATATTTTAGTAAATATTTTATTACAGTAATTGCTATCATAAATAAATTTTGCATATTTTTAAAAATATTAAAAAAACTACTCAATCTTTGGAATTCAACAAGAAATTTCTAACTGAACTGAGTAAAATTTACTTTTTTCTTGCATACAACTTTTTATTACAAAAATTCTTATTTAACTAAAAAAAAAAAAAAAAAAAAAAAAAAAAAAAAAAAAAAAACTCATGTATCCAGTTATGAATACTGTTCAAACAATTATGAATATATTTAACTGTTTCATATGCAAAGGAATTTCTATAAGTCAAACTTAATGCTGATATGTATTCAAAATTAATACTAATTTATTTTTAACAAATTATTTTGCTCAGATCCTCTGGTTTTGAGTTAGCAAAGTTCATGTTATCAAAAAATATAAGACAAACAGATAATTTAAATATATTAAAATCATGACTCACTACAAGTAGTTTTAAGAAAATTACAAAAATAAAGAATAAGGTATTGAGGAAGCAATTTTTAAAAACATGACGCATTACTACTTATGCAATACATATATCAATACTGATCGATTTATGTATCTTGATTAATCGAAATCACCGATAATTACATGATGCATAAATCACCATAACTCAATGTTAATTTTAATGTCACAAACATAAAAATATAAGCATATATGAAACATTAATATTTCTAATAAAATTTTATGCAAGTATGAAACATTTAGATTTCAAAAAAAAAAAAAAAAGACCTAACTGAGAATCTTTAGTATCAGAAATCAAACATAAGATATTCTTCACTTATGAAAAATTCATCTATGGCTGAGCATATTTTATAGGTATGGCTAATGATTTTTAATTATCAAATCTAATCTTAATAGGTAGTTTTAGTCTTTTCCAACTTATATGTACATTGAATTAAGTAAATAAACTATGTTTATAAGAAAAGTATCTTCCTTACATTTGTGCATAAATGCACATAAAATAATACTGCACTACAGTTTTGAACTAAATTACACTTTGATCTAAATTTACAAAAATTGTGATATTTTCTTAAAATACACATATTTATTTATTCTCTCTTTCATTACTATTTCAAAACGATTAAAAAAATAAGATTCCCAGCTCAACTTCTACATTAATATGTAGAAGAATCTTTCTTAGATTCTAGAGATTTCTTATTAAAAATTTAACACATATTTTATTCAAGAAATAAACACAAGTATAATGCAGAAAATTTTTCGTACTCAGCTAAATAACTAACCAAATTACTTCAGCTTTCAGTAACATAACAGAATAAAAAAGAACCTTTATAAAAGAAGGAGGGAAAGTATTTACCAGAACCAATCATTAGCAAGGTATCATCATGGGTATTAATAAAGTCTAAAGCTGTTATTCGAACATTCTGCAGATTATGAGAGCTATTGGACCGCAATAAATAGCCTTTTTCCCAATCCCATATGCTAAAATAAAAATAATAATAATAAAAAACATGCACTTAAGCCAATTTAAAATTAATAATGTTTGAAAATATTAACAACAGTATATACAACTATTTTAATCATAAGTTAATAACTGCCACATTCAACATAGATAAGAGAAATTTTTTATTAATATGCACTTATATTCTGTTCCCACATTTCATCTAATATGGTACTTTTCAAACATTAATTCTATTTTCTGCACCATGTACTTCCATATGTTATTTTCATAAATTATTGCATTTTGCATATGTACTGTATTCAAAAAGTTAAAAACACAATGTAGAAAAACTAAAAACCTGAAAGCTTTCAGATTTTACATTACATTCCAAAGGGACTTTTTTTTAACCTTTTGTGTGATACCTTTATTTATTAAATATCTTGTTCTTCGCACTTAAACCATAAAATTCAGTTCAACAGGAATATCGCGAATTAATTTTAAAATGAGCATATCTTTAGAATTTCCAATACACGGTTTCATGCACTAAAGATAAATTTTTTTCGTGTGCGTGTGGGGGAGGTTACAGTGCTGCCATTGCTTGCTTTGAAATCGCTTAGTTTATTAATCACAAATTTGTTAAAGTTTTATAAAATATGAAATAGATAATAAAACAAATTTCAGATTCCAAATGTGGGCTTCCATATGCCCATATTCAGGTGGAAATTCATTATTCATTATTAAACATCCAGGTTATTCAGAATTGGATGCCTCTAGGTACCCTTTTTTTATCACAATGCTAGAAACATATATGCATTTATGTAGATTTTTCATTATTGAATTTCTTTAAATATAATGCAGAGCTCTAATATTTGGTGGCAACAATTTGAAAAGTGAACCGACATTTATCGTGAACCAAAGTAAAATGCCAAAATGAAATTAATAGTCCTTCTAGCCAAATTGCCCTTTTGGACTAATTAGTGATTTTGAAAATTAAAATTGAACATGACTGGCTGATAATCTCTGCCGATGTAAATGGCAGCATGCAGATATTGTACATTACAGCAATCACAAATGACTGTCCAAATATATTCTAACTAGGTAGCTGTTGAAGATACCAGCATTTTGAAGGATATGAGGAGGTTCATTTAAATGATGATATGAAGAATTTATAAATTTCACAGGATAATTTTTGATCATATTTGTGTTTCTATAGCTGAAAGATGATGAATGGCAGATAGCAAACAGTCTTTCTTTTCTTAGGAGTTGGTTAATTGGTGATTTCTTGAATGTAAAAATAATTCAAGTCAAACAGCTGTCCAGAGATCTACACTTAGTTAACCAAGGGTTACTACTCTTCTGCAGATCAGCATATTTCTAAAGTGGCCACGTGGTATTGAATAGCGAGTGTTACCACAACTGTTACATTAGTGGTCCCATCATCACTTGGTAAAACAATATCTGTCAATACTGGACACCAAAGGCTTACAAAGGGACAGTATACCCAAGTATCAGGTGCTTGTTAATAATTCATCATCAAGTGCTTGTTGCCAATCAAGTGCAGAAGGGGGTGATTAAGGTGGTGTCATCAGCACCTTCATTGAACTGTCTCAGATTCATACAACATTCTGTTCATGGGTTAATCCAGATTGCTCAGGAATTAGACGATAATTGTGTACTGGTCTGCAGAAAACAAGGCTCACAGAATCAGGACCAGAACACCATCAAACATCACCCATTCAGAAGTGACAATATCATGATATGGGTAGGAATTTTAATGGGATATAAATGTGCATTTTAAAAATTGTTTTATGATGGCTGCACAGTATGAAGATGATGTCCTACACTTCCTGTGAGAACATGTGCTGCCATAGTTGGTCTTGATGTCTTCCTCATGGAGGGCAATGGCTGTCAGCCAACATCATTAACTATTATCTAAAGAAGGAATTTCTCGTATGGACTAGCTGCCACATTCCCTCTACCATAAAATCCCACAGAAAACATCTTAGATGACACTGAACATGCTACCTCCTACAGCCAGTCTCAGACAACCGGAAACTCCATAATGAAAGAATAGCTATTGCTACCATCTGCTATGGGTGATCACCTCACTATAACTATGGGTAATAGGTGTAAGGTTTGTATGAAGGTTCAAGGTAACAGCATAACTTATTAAGTTTTTTTTTTTTTTTTTTTTTTTCTCCCTGTTTTTAGCTTTGAGTACCAGTCTGTTAATCAATCAAATATAACATCACCATATAATTTAACAAAATTAAATACTGTTTTCATCTTTGTATATAATTCTTGTTTTCTTTCACACAAATGCGCTACCTTCATGTGCAGTTTGGTGTTAAACCTCTAAGTGGGAAGGCCATATATATATGGCTTAGAATATTTTTTGTGCTATCTGGATGAACATATATATACGTGCATATTAAAATATGTCACAGAAATTAAGTTCATTTGGTTATATTGATTAAATTTACACGCATTGCCATAAAAATATGCGCACTAAAAAATAATCGTGGGATAGTAATGAAACATGGCATGAAGGTACATGTCAGGTAGATATGCAAAGGATTAAAAATGCAGCGTGAATGTGCATTGTGTAATGCCACTAGAGTGCGCTAAACTTCGTTCTTCTTGGAGTACAAAACACGTAATGAGATGCCGTTATGCTGCCGTCAAAGCCAATATCAGCAGTGTTGGAGAGGGAAAGAATCATCGGGATGATGGAAGTTGGGTGGTCAGCTCACCGAGTAGCTCATCAGGTAGACCGCTCTGATTTTACTGTGAGCAGGTGTTGGGACCAGTGGACAGAAGAGATGTCATTTACACGGCAACCAGGCTCATGACACCCTCGAAAGACCAGTTGTTGAGACAACCATCACATGATACGACATGCCTGCGTAAAGCCAACTGCCTCATTGGCCGCTACCCAGACACAGGCAGCAGCTTCATTACGAACACCTGTGTTTTCCTGAACCATCGCAATGTGCCTGGTTGAAACACATCTGGTATCGCGACACCCATTACATGTGCTGCCAATGACACCCAACCACCAGCGCCTCCGTTTGAAGTGGTGTTGTGCATGACAGGATTGGACTTTAACGGAATGGAACCAGGTTGTTTCCAGCGACGAATCTAGGTTCAAATTGACCAGTCATGACAATCGTGTTCACGTGTGGAGGCCCCGTGGTGAACGTCTCAATCCTGCCTTCACTTTACAACAACACACCGTTCCCACAGTTGGTTTGATGGTATGGGGTGCCATTGCTTACGATATATGGTCACCCCTAATATTGATCCATGGCAGGCCAGCGGTATCTCCATGACATCCTTCAGCCACATGTGTAGACATTCATGGCAGGGCTCCCAGGAGCCTGTTTTCAATGAGACAATGCTCGGCCATACACAGCAGGGATCTCACAAGACTGCCTCCCTATTAACACCCTTACCTGGCCTGCTCGATCCCCAGATTTGTTACCAATCGAGCATATCTGGAATCATTTGGGATGGTAAGTTGGACAGCCTATGAGACTGGTCGAACTAGAGGTGTGTTTACAGCAACTGTGGAACAAGATGTCTCAGGACACCATATGGAACTTGTATGCCTCAATATCGGCTCGTATCGCTTTGTGCATTCGTGCTTGAGGTGGTCAAACAGAGTACTTAACCTTCCGTTCATGTGTACTTTATTCTGCTATAAATAATTCTTTTTTTTTCTTTGATTTTCTAATCACTTACTCATATCAAAGTAGTACTTACATATGTAAAACTTCGTTTCAGTCTGACAACTCTTTCTTGGTGCGAAAATTTTTATGGCATTGAGTGTACATATTGAAAAAAAGAAATTAGATATGAAGAAACTAATGGCATTAAAGAATAATATTGATAGTAGAACTTAAAACAACTGAGTTCAAATTTTCATAAAAAACTTGTTTAACAAAGTCGACCTTTTTTTTTTTTTTTTTAATTTTTATTTTTATAATGCAATGTATTAAATACAGTTAAATTATGTACTGCTGCAGATAAAAAACTCCTAAAAACCAAAACATCATCTACTATTTCTGCTGTTATCCCATGTAATTATCTTTTCTTTCCCATATTTCCAAATTTTCCTTTTACGACAATAGTTCGTTAGAGTAATTTTCCCATCATTCTACAATAAAAACAAATTTTTTTAAGACATGGCACAGTTAATCTACTACGGACAGGAAGAACGGACTATATTCATTATTTTTATATAAAAAAATTTAAGTTAAGAAAGGTTTCTTGTAATTGTTATACAAATCCTCCACACAACTAGATAATTCCTACTGACCCTCTACATAAGCCCAAATAACAACCTGCAACTGTGAATTAAATCTCTAAAAATAATAATAATCAGCTCTCAACAGAGTTTTTATTAGAATACAAATAAAATGAACAGAATGCCTACCTGTAACATTCCTTATCAGTAACCACCATATGAGACTCATAAGGGTGAAATTTCAGAGCTGCTGGAAGATTCGGGTTTTTGTTGATAAATATCTGCTCATCAAACCTTCCATTCTCTAAAACATTATAAAAACATTCTTGATATTTTATACATTAAATATATTTCTTTAAAGTACATTAGGTGAGAAACATGGCTTTACAGGGCCTAGGTGGCCGTAGAATGGCTACAGATTTGCATAAAACATACTGCAATGCCATAATATAAAACAGAGAACAGAAAGCATAAAAGTAATACAGTCAAAAGTCGTTAATTCGGACACCCATAATCCGGACCTCAAAGCTAAAAACTTTCTGCGCATGCGCCGCGTTGGCACATGCACACAGGCGTTTTACGCGTGCGCGTTATACCTTGACTACTGTGCATACGCGTGTGCGCAAGTGCAGAATACGTTTTCGCCTGCGCGTTTAATGTATAATGAACGGTGTATGCTAAAATTATCTAATTATCTATTTCAGTTAATGTTAATGATTGCATTGTTCCTTAATCTTCGAATTGGATCCTGCTTATTATTTTTTGCAGACTGTAAGAGCAATTTTATAAAAGTAAACTTTCGATTATGTCAAATAGAATTTCCGATGCTGGAACTTCCAAAGGATCTATAAAACAAAAGTGTGGTTTGATGTCCAACAAACAAAAAGTGGAATTGCTGCAAAAAATGGATAAAGACATGAAGAATGTGACAGAGAGGTTAGTGAAAACGAAAAAATTTCGATTGACAAGTTAGTCGGTATTCTCGGCACAGCAATTAACGGGACTTGAACAGGGGAACTTTGTAACTGAACAAGAAGAAACTATGTCTGTTTATAGAATTAAAGAGAAAGTATTATCACATAAAACGAAGCAAAAAAACTTAAACAACTTACATTGAAAGAAATGTTTAATAAAGTAAACAATAAATATTAAGCTTTTTTTTTTTTTTTTTTTTTTTTTTTTTTGTAAATTTTGATACCCTTTAGATCATAATTGTTCTTTATTTCATAAATTACGTTTCATATTTTTAATTTTATAATTTCTGCATGCCATCTTACGAGATTTAAACTGATGATCTATAATCCGGAAAAATCGATAATCCGGAATCGCTGAAGTCCCGACGAGTCCGGATTAACGACTTTTGACTGTACTATGAATAAGTAGTGTATTTTTATCTGTAGCACCTACTACTTCTTTTATATTAAAAAAAAAAGCTGTACCCATGTTTATATGTTTACATATATATGAAGGAGTCGAAGTCGGAGTTATTCCAGGAGTCGGAGTCGGTCATTTTCCCTACCGACTCACAGCACTAGACAAAACCGTGTCTAGACTAAACCAAGAATATGCCTTTGCAATCTACGAATGGTAAAGTTATCTTCTGACATTGATATTAAGCAAAGATTCACTGTGCCAATAACATACCAATAACATATCGTCAAAGTCTTCTCATTCTACGTGGTACAAACATTACACGGTATGAGTAATAACTTTGTATTAGTACTCAAGAAAGAAACTAAAAGATAAAAAAAATAGCCATCTTTTAACATGTTGGGCTAATTCGAATCTGTCATGATTTACGGTCTTCTGGATTTCATTTACTGACAGACAAAACACACTTACGCTATCTGCCAAAGGGGAGGGGGTGCCTTCCTGGATGATTTTCTGAGGAAAACTCACTCGTACACACATCACACATGGGGAAAACCACGAAAACGTCCATGTAGATGACCCATTCACCTAGAATCAAACCCAGGTCGGAACTATCAGTGTTCAGCGACTTTACCACACAGCAACTGGTGGGCTCCATGGTCTTCTGGAAGCAACAAATAAAGTTTCCTGCAGAATCAGGTAAACTAATCTTAACATGTGTCTGCATCTTAAAATACTACACTTTGTAGATAAAACTTGAGAACACTCATCAAATTCTCCTATTCAGAATTATTCCCGAGGTAAATTTTTTCTACCTATGCCTTTAAAGGACTTGAAGAATTTCAGCTACATTTTATATATCAATGACTCACTCATATACACGTTACACATGGGGAAAACCATGAAAACGCCCATGCAACCAGCCCATTCGCAGGATTCAAACCTTGAACCAAACTACCAGTGTTCAGCGACTTTACTGCTCGGCTGCTGGTGGGCAATTGTGAACATGAGGGTACATCAAATCCACTGTAATTTGAATCTCCAAAAATCGGGATGGACTTCTGCATCAAGCCAATAAAATTAATACGAAAAATTATGCTTAAAAACACTAGTGGTGGAGGATATGAAATATGCACATTTTAAGTTTCATTAATTCAATAAAAGCTGGGAAGCATTTTTTGTAATAATGGCTAAAAATTAAAAATAGGAGTTTTGATAATCCATCAGTAAAGCAGATGTGATGAAAAATCAGAAGAGTTAGAAGATATATATATACTGCACATTATTATGCTTCCTTTTTAAATATCTCCAGCACACACACATAAAAATTTAATTTTTTTCCATGCAGGGGGAAAAAATCTTAATTCAAAAAGATAGTATTTTACCTAGCTTTTTAACTTCTTCAACCACACTTTTCCTCATACATTCATTTCTTAGATAAAGCCATTCCTTTTCCAAATGAGCAGGACTATCAATGTCTGTTTCTCCAATCTATAAAATGAAAAATTAAATGAAATGAAAAATTTAAAACACACTAAATGGATTACAGTTTAATATTGTTAATTATACTAACTTTAAGCACAGGCTGGCTGAAATATAGTGAACTCCACGCAACATACTGAGTTTTTATTAAAGGGTTTTTTGGTTCTTGGTTATCTTCTGTGTCCTCTCCTATTTCTCTTATCTGAGGGAAAACAAATGAATAAAAATGTACAGAAAAACAAACTTTATGTAAGATATGCGACATAACTGAAAAACACATATGTAGTGAAATAAATTTAAAGAAACTAATTTTTTAAAAAGTTTCTGGCTATAAAAACTTTAAAAATTTGTTAAATAAAATTTATAAAATTCCATATACAACTTGAGGAACTATGAGAAAAATATTTTATAAACATTTATTAATAATTTTAAAATGCAATAAAAATTTGCATTAATACCATGTAAAGAATGAAAATTATTCTCAACATACTTTCAGCAAAGCATTTACAGTTAGTCATAAACAGGAAAATTTGAATTCTGTTATCTTTTGAACGATTTGTATCATTTACATCTTATATTATTTACATGGGAAAGTACAAAGGAACATGTAAACCTTCCTTTAACCATAAAATAATAGTGTTACGCAAGTAAAAATTTCCTGCAATACAAAAAGAAGTTATATTTATAAATTTATATCTCCTATAACTTTTTGATGTCATGGTATAATGCCAGGGAAAAAGCACATACTTACTGAAAAAGACAATGCTGATGCACATACAGCAAAACAAGGAAATGAAAAGTCAGAAAAATTAACTCAAAAACTAAGAGAGAGGTACAAACTCAATTTCAAAATTTAAAAACGAAGTACTTAATATGAAACAAATACCTGGTTTAATAGAAATGCCAGAAAAAAAAAAAAATCCAAACAAACCAATTATAGGTGACAACAACAGAAAAGAGATTATATACAATACCATTGCTTCATGTTAATGTGTTCTAGTTAGAACTATAAAATACACTGAAGTGTCACTAAATTACGGGCAGACAGCATGCTGCCCAATTTCTATATACACATAATGATACTGCTGTAGGATATTAGTTACAAGTGTTACCATCTCTGTCTAACTGTTAAAAGACACATGATAGGTAAAACATGACCACTTTCAGCTGAAGATAAGTAATAGATTCTCAATATATGGGGCATTAGATTTCAGAAAGAGTTCAAAAAACGGTACATTTTTTCCATTCCACAGAACCAAAAGTATGGCAGTAGTACATGGATGCAGGACACAAAACCATACTCAGGCTAATTGCAATAGACACCAGCCTTGAACAATTGTGATCTTAAAAGACAGCCATATTTTATTTAGCCAGCAATAACAAACCTTCCTACTGAAATAGCCACCAAGAGGTCCAGATATAAATCCCGCTTAATATCTTTAAAATACTCCGGAGAAAGGTGTGCAAGTACAGCATCCATCTCCAGCATCCTTAAATGATTAGCTCAAATTGACAAACCAATAAATAGATGAGAAGTTCAAATGAACTATGCAGAACTCACTTTACCGTTTGAGCTTCAAGAGCCCTACATTTTACATAAGAGTATCATTTCTCAGTGCATGCCAATCCCACAATATTTTGCATGAGTCACAGAACACCTAGACTGATTGAAGACAAGTAGCATGCAGTGATGAGCCTCAATATCAACTAAATCATATTAATTGGAGGCTGAGAAAAGTACGGCACTAGCTCCATGAAACAATGGATTCAGTGTGTCAGGTTGGAAGTGTATAGGCACAATAACTCAGTAATGGTCTGAGGAATTTTCGCTTGGCAATATTTGGAAATTTTGGTACTTGTACCAAACACCCTCACTGCACCTAAATACAACAGCTGACTCAAAAGTTGAATGAAATATGTTAATTGAAGCATGAATCAATTAAAATGAGAACTTGCTTGGGTGCCATTTGATAACTCCCAACCAATCTCAGCTATTCTGAAAGTGAATTTTTTGTTTGACAATTATTTTTGTGAGTTTATGTGACTGTTTTTGTGAAAATGGAAAAACACAGATTAAAGAAGTTGGACATTACATACGAAGACTCTGCACCATCGCTTACTACTGCAAAAATTTGGGCTGAATTTAAGTATGGCCTTATCATCCTGGATGATGATGCACATTCAGGACTGCCAAAAACTGTCACCACTAATGAAAACATCGCTAAAATTCAACAAATGATGTTGACAACTTTCGAGTCAAAGTTAGAGAGATAGCAGAGGCTATAAATGTGTCCAAAGAATGTGTTTGCCACATACTGACCGAAAATTTATGTATGCGCAAGCTGGATGTGCGTTGGATGCGGCGTTTGCTACCTTCGGACTAAAAACCTGTCTGAATGAACATATAAACAGCTGTGCAGGCGCAATTCAGGTGCAATCAAATGGAGCTTTTTTGACGATTAATCTCTGTAGATGAAAACTGGATACATCATTACAGCCCAAAAACAAAAACACAATCAAAACAGTAGACAACTCCCAAAAACCCAATAAGTGTTCCTTCTGCTAGGAACATGATACGACAGTTTTCTGGGATAGCCAATGGAATTGTCTTAATAGATTATCTTGAAAAGGCAAAAACCATTATCAAAGTATACTATGCAACATTACTTGACAAGCTAAAGGCAGAAATTGCAGACAGCCTACATATAGGAACCTGCTAGGTGATTACTTACATCTTTCTGGCTTTTCAACCATTTGGATAGAAATGGAGCATATCCGCAAAACAACTGTTCCTTTTGCTATCCTCTAGTTCAAGGAGCATGCCACAGAAGTTTTCTTGTTAAAATAGCCATCAAGAGGACCAGACAAAAAAATCTCAATGAACACATTTAAAATACTCTAGAAAAGGTTTGCAAGTACAGCATCCATCTTTCTCATCCTTAAATGATTCATGGCCAATTCTAGCAGATGTTTTACAAACTGTATGTCTGGGCTAATTCTGCAGATCTGATTAATCCAAGCCTCATTGTGTACCATCTATTATCAAAGCCAAAGAAGCAGCAACTTTTCACTAAAAAGGGTATCCCTAATTTAGTGACAGTGTATAAACCAAAGGATTTTGATGATAAATAAAAATCAATCACGAATTAGAATTCAAGGATGACAAGTTGAAGATTATTTTTATGAAAAATAAGTACTATTATATGTTATGGCTGTATAGTGAAATATCATCAGAATGGAGAAAAGGGCTACACAGTTGCATAGGATACCACGAGAACTACCAATTAACATACAATTGTGACAGAATGAATGGTTTGGTTTATTTCATTATGGCAAAGCATTCAGCTATCTGCCAACCAAAGTGGAGGGAAGTCTTTATGGAGGACTTTCTAAGAGAAACAGAATATATGTTAGGGAAAACCACAAAAATGCTCATGTAGCCAGTCCGAACCGTCCAGTCATGTAGCCAGTCCAAACATCGGACGGAACTACCAGTATTCAGAGACTTTCACTAGTATTCAGAGACCATTTGGCCACTGGTCAGCCAATAGAATGAATGATTATGCCTAGATAAATCATGATATATTCATCTATGCATAAATGCTGTAGGCTCTGAATGTGAAGATTACCAATCTCTTATAGATTTTGGCCACAGGCTATTTTAAATGATTGTTTTACAGCTAGATTTAAAATTGTTTTACAGCTAAATTTTGGTGCACATACTAAGTTGCTGGCAAATGCATTTGAGGAAATTTTTAATTACCAAAATTCTCATGTACCAAGAACCAGTAATCTGCATGCCATATGTCCACATTCACACAAATGACGTTTCTCAATAAATGTTTGGGCTGGAATTATCTCCATGACCATTTGATTGGGGTATTATCTTTTCAAAGGCAAAACCAGATATTTTTGCAAGAAGTCTTGATAGAATTACTCAGTTTTTACAACAATGCATTAAAACACAACACAGTTCCAACATGAAGGAGCCACCCCCCCCCCATTTTTCAATATGGACAATCAGAATGCTTTGGTGCAACATTCCCCCCCCCCAAAAAAAAAGAAAAAAATAATAATTGGTTGAAGTGATTCCATCACTTGGCTGGTATGATTGCTTGATCTCTCATGTCCAGAACTTTTTCCTATGTAGCCATTTGAAAAATTGCATAAATCATAGCCCAGCTGATTCCAATAAGAAAAGTGCCAGGATTTCTGCTGTGGCTGCTGCAGTTTGAGAAACGCCAGGTGTTTTTGCCCATTTACATTAATCAATGTATTGAAAGTGTGAAGCCTGCATTCAATATTGCTGGTTGCTCTTTTAAACAGCTTTTGTAATCTGATCAATAAATTTTATTCAACTTTTCCATTTCTCCTTTGTCCTTCTTTTGTCTACTAACTTCTAATACTTCACTATGAATGAATTATGCCCATGGATTATATGACAAAAAGAGCTTCTTTAACGTGTTCTATTAGCCTTTTAAGTTTTGCTCAAGAATTTTGAATCACCCTGTTTTTATCTTTTAGAATATCAGCTATGTAAATAAGTGTAATTATTTTTCAAATTATTATTAATTTCGAAAAGAGGTACTTATGCATTAACACAACTACCCCAGTGTAATTTGACAATTTTTAAAAAATGAAAAGGTAACAGTTATTTATTTATCAGATGCAAGCTGGTCATTTTTGCAACTATTAAAAAAAAAAAAGAAAAGAAAAGAAAAGACTGGCAAACTACTGATATTTATCCTAAATGGACAAATATCATCAACATATCAAAAGAAAACACATTTTAGAAATTTAAAATGCAAATTCTAATTATTAAATAAGGATTATTGCATAAACTGCATTGCATACGACTATCTACCAAGCACACCTCATCATTATCCTGTATAGCAATTTTGTGGCAAAATACCATATTACTGCAGGACTATTACTTGAGTTTCCTCCATTCCTGGCAAATTCCAGAAGCACATATTTTAGAATTGAGTTTGAAAGGAAAAAAGGATCATGATTTGCCTATAAAAATCATTAAAACTTGGAATACAACAAACAAAACGAGCACACATGAAAATGGCCACTTTGCTTGACTGAAAGTTTGTTATGAGTATGGTTACCAGAGTTTTACACACACTGAAAATTTGGCAACTTCTGCGAAGGTCGTTCCGATAATACATAAGTACAGGCAAAGATAGCTACTGTTATTATTAATTCTGTATAGAATAAAGTTGAAATGAAATTATTGCTGTTAGGATTCCAATTTATTATTATAGTATGCCACGATAATTTCTAAACTAACCCACTAATATGCTACCATGCTTAAAAACCCATCACACAGAATTATTAACTCAGAGGATGTAATATAATAATTTCATGTTATATTTATAAGCAATTAATAATTCTTTGAAGTTTATGCAATTGTTAATGTATGATAAACTTAAAAATCTCATAGGAAGTTTAAATTTCACAAACTAATGAATTCAAATTATTAAATGAACAGATTAATAAGGGTAATTATTATGATACACAAAAAAAAATGAAATGCACCTCAGGTCCCTTATCAAAAGTCTTTCGTATTCTGTTAAACTGAGCAAAATATTGATACTGCTGGTATGGAGCATTAACATCAGACCACCTGTTAGCAGATCTTGATCTGTTTTCTTGAGCATGATGGGTTATTGGTCCATTAGCACGAGTAGGAGGTGATTCACCCCTGAAATTGTATATTTTTATAACATTGTTGCATTTTTTAACACACAGAAATTATTGACAATATGTAATGCACAATGCTATGAAAATGTTTTTAGGGGATAAATCTAATTTTTTGACATGCTCAGCATATTATACATCTTACCACTTTTTATACACAGTCAAATCACATTATAGCAAACCCCCAAATATATCAAATAAAATTTTTCGTCCCATTCAATTTCTTATAAACTTTATTTTATACGACTATAATGAACTTCCAAATGTATAAAAATCAGATATAGCAAACTTTGGGGATATATTATGCTGAACATTTTTTGCATTTTAAAATTTTGTAACTTTTAATTGAAACATTACTAATTTTTAAATACATCTTGTAGAAGGTACATATAATAACAGAATATTTAGGTTACTCTTCAATTATTTTTTTTCTGTGTTTTAAAATGCTATTCGAGACAAGTATAACAATCAACATCTAGAAAATCAGGATACACAAAAAACAAATCTTAGGAGATCCTGCTGCGAGCCAAAAAACAATTGATATATTGAGACAAAGACTTGAATTAGTTCTTTGATTACATTCAAGTTCTCTGATTAAGCTACAAGCTAGCACTTTGTTGAATGATGCTTATTCATGATCATAAATATGTATTTCAGACAGGGATGTGTAACTGAGCAGTTCTCAACATTCTTTGCCCCATGCACCCTTTCAACACTGCTAGAAGACCAATCCCCTTTTCCAAAACTCTAAAAATACATGTATATATATGCATTTATTTAAATTTAGATTATTTTCTAACATTTTTTTAATATTCATAAACTAATACTAAATACTTAACAGCTAAATAAAAGACAGCCCACATTCTCCCTCTCCTCAGGTTGACAGCCCCAGATATAATAGGAGGGACAGGCCTAAAGTATAAATTTTATGCTTAGTAATGTTTCATGTAAAATTGTTAATGTATTGTGAAACTGAAAAACAAGTTTAATAACTGCAAATGATAATAATTGTAATTAATTTTAATACAAGTTTTAAATTACAGATATGATTAACTTTTGAGAGATATGGCAATGCTAATCACTTTTTCTGTGTGATTTATCAATAAATTTTTACATTACAGATGGTGTTTAGAACTAATTTTGAAGCAATAAATTAATGTTTAAAATGCAGAGTTTTTTTCAAATGTTTAATAGCCTTTTTTTTTTTTTTTTTTTATTTTATTTGTCTGCACTATGATTTTGATGATAGAAGGGCTTTTTGGAAAATTTCCAGTGTAATGATGTGGACCTTCCAAAGTTCATTAATTATCATTGGTTTGCACATAAAAGAACTCTTTTCAAGAGACCAAAAGCGCAATAGTCCATAGAAGAAACATCAGAGGACTTTGCAGGTATATGCTGAAAAAGGTATACATGCAATACCAGTATTAACCATCATTTTTTCAAAGAATGCAGTGGTACTTTTTTAACCCTCTGAGCGTTACGGGTTTAGCCCTGAAATTTCAAAGTTCCTCAAAATGTCACGTATAAGTGATATTTTCTTGATTTTAATTAAAAAATGACTCTTTCATTTTGTACCTTGATTCCTTTTCTTCCGATATACATCCAAACTGAAATCGGATACATTAAAAGCCAGCAGAAATTTTCATGTATAATGAATGTGGAAGGCAACCTTATGTATGACTGTAGTAATTTTTCAAAAATTAATGTTCTGTCTCCAGTAATATGGAATAATTTCTCACTTTCTAAAAATCAATATAAGTAAAATTGAAAATAGCATTTTATTTTCATAATATAATCAAAATATTTCTATTTTTCAAAAATGATGTTCTTTTTATTTTGCCAAATCATTTATTTTCTTTAAAAAAATTTCTCTCATTTGCTTTGCTGTTACTAACATTAAAATTTTTCTATAAAAACTTTTTGATTTAAATTTGGCTATTGTGGTAAGTGCAGTTTTAATTCCAAGAGATTTTGTTTACATTTATTTGCAAGTATGTGGTCTGAAATTAAATCTTTGGTTCTTATATAAATCTAATGTTTTGGCTTAAATGCAATATTCTGGATCTACTATCCAGCAGCTGTTTCTGGCAATTAGAGAAATTCTTTGAGCAACTGATATTAGTTGGTCCATATTCGGAATTATTTCCTTTATGCTTCATTAACAAACAATATATTTTTTTCATTTTAAGAATAACTGAATTAGAATAGATCCTTTTAGCATGCTTTTATTAAGAATTTCTTTACAAAAGCACAAACACTGGTACAGGCAAGTAAAATCATACAAAGTTAAATGAGTCATTAAAAAAGTTTCAAAATTTAATAATAATCTATAAAAGTGATGCTGAATATTAGTACAAGGGACAGGTTAACTATTAGTGCTACAAGGGAATATTAGCTACAAGGGCCAGTTTTAGTTATTAAGTTATTTTGACTAATATGATTTTTTGGTTCTTTCACATCATAGGATAACATGCAAAAAACAGTTTTCTCAGCAAAAAGATATATGTACTAACTTTATAGTTTCAGGAACAAAAATTTCATCATCAGCTCATTTTGACAGTAATAAAAATTTTGGACACAAAAGAAATATATCTTAAATTTAAAATCAAACAAAAAAAAAAAAAAAAAAAAAAAAAGGAAACTAAGTTTAGCACAGATTTTGAAAATGATATCAATTTTGATGGCAATCAGACACAAGTCTCTTTTCTTCAGAAGCAAAAAATTTTTTGTTTCAACATTTTATAGGTATTGGACATTTTTCGAAAAGTATACAGGATTTAATGTTTGAATACTGCTCCAAAACATGCCATTTTTCACATATTATCAACCACAAAACACTGACAAAAATAGCTGATGAACATGGGGAATCATTTATCGTAAATTAATGAAAGTATTTCCCAACAAAAGGGATCTGTTTACACACGGTATTGACGAAATTTTTAATTTATCACATTTTAACTAGTTAAAAAGGCATATATATACATAATAGATATAAACTTAGAAGTCATAAACAGCAGAAATTTTGATGGTATAACAACGTTAATCCATAATGAATAGGAAACCTAGCAGTCAAGGCAGATTTAATTCCATTTTTATTTAAATTCACATTTAGAGCCATAGTTCACTTGGAACTCTAATCATGCCTATTTTTAGTACATTTACTTTTATGAAGACTATTGCGATAGGAAGAGAATACAGCGAAATTAAATAGCATCCAAGCAGCAACAGAGATACAAGCAATGTAAGCATTTATCCAATATGGCAGCTTACCAAAGAGGAAGGTTCTGATTACCAAAGGTTTCAGTTCTCAAGAGTTTAGATTTCAAGTAACTACGTCATACACGTTATGCAAGCTCTGTGGCATAAATTAATCTAGAAATATAGCAGTCTAGGAATATTATTATTTTTAGAACGAAGAGGAAATATCCAAATTAAAAATGAGGAATTACGAGGATAGTAATAAATTAAATTATAAAGCCAATTTACATTTTTTATCTTATACACACACACATATATATATATATATATAAACACACAAAAAGAAACATAAGAGGCTGAAAATGAAACACAAAATCAATTCCCAAAGCAGAAGTAGCACATCAGTGCATAAGAGTTTTAAACACTCAATGTGTTTGGTTTATAGTATATCTAAGAAGATATTTTCCTTTTGTGGTATAGTCGGGAAAACATTTTCCCATTAACACGTGGCACATCAGTGCATTTTATAGCACGTCAGTGCATAAGAGTTTTTAAAACAATCAAAGTGTTGCATTTATATATCTAACGAGATATTTTTCTTTTGTATGATAATGGGGAAAATCCATTCCCGTAAATAAACAGCACATCAGTGTATTTATGTTTAACATTTCGTTATAAATTGGTGTGATAGAATCTGAACTGTTTATTTTGTGTATATGTGAAAGCACATCAGTGCAATATTGCAATTTTCATTTCTAAGTCATTAGAAGAAAATTTATGTTAAATTCTTGTGAAAGAAATAAGTTAGTTGAATATATTAAAAACTTGTTACTTTGGTTTTCTCATGAAAGCACACCAGTGCTGTATTTTAATATGATGTGTATTTTCTGATAAGTAGAATATTAAATTTTATCATTTCATTTTAAATTTTAAAGCTTTGAGCAGTAAAGAAATGTTCTAATAGTGTTCTGATTTAAACCTGCGCCTATCGAATTTACGTAGTAATTGCGTTGGCCATGTGGATTGCCAACGGAAGTAGCTGTCATGAAAACGATAATTAATTAAAGGTGTTTATATTTATTGGCGCCACTCTGGTTTTTTTTCTGTCTGGCTGTACTAAATGAAAAGAATTTGTTATTAATTTTTTATACGAAGTATTCAGTAAGGTTGTTTATTCGTTTTATGTTTTAATGGAAATAAATTCAAAATGATTAATGCTTTTATTAACCTTTTATTTTCATTTGCCTAATTTTGTAAGAAAGAAGAAAAGTTAGTGTTTTTATATCTCTGATATATTTTTATGTGTATTATTTGTGAATAACTATTTGAGTTCTTATTTGTTTTGAGCAATTACTTTTGTGAAAATGGCATTTTTGGGGAAAGCTAAGAAAAAGGGATCTATTCCTTGTCGCTTCAGAACTTGGGGAAATAGCTTTAGAAGATATGAAAGTGATAGATTTAAAACAATTAATAACGAATAGTAAAAATTATGAGGAAGAATTTGTTAAAAATTTGTTAGAAAGTGTTATGACTTATAGGATAGAAAAAAAAACTTAGAGAAGCAAACAAGAGCGAAAGAATTACAGTTAGAACAGGAAGCTAGGGAGAGGGAATTTCAGATACTACAACAAAATAAAGAAATTGAAAAGCAACAGTTAGAATTAGAATGCCTGAAAGCAAAACAGAACACTGAATCTGCTAAACCTGGAGGTGAAACCGGTATTTAATCAGAATTTTCAGAAACTTAATGCCCAAGTTTAATTTAAAAACTGATGATATCAGTTTATTCTTAGAACTTTTTGA